CATTCTTCATCTTTTCCAATTCTTCACCTGGATGTTTGACAAACATTTGTCTGCTTCGACCATGTCTAGCTATCAGACAGCCTTGTTGAACACCTTCCATTTCTCAAAGTTTTGTAAGGTTTTGTCTTCCCATGTCATTTCTCTCCTTTTATGCTCCTTTTGAGTCATGCATCCTCCACATTCCTTTGATTTGTCTGATTAGGATCTCAAAGTGGTCTTTAATGCCCTTTCCCATCCTTTCTTTGAACCTTTGTCTATGTTTTCCATGTACCATCTCTCCCTCAAGATCTATTTCCTTCTCCTCCTTGCTTGCGGACGTCGTCAATCAGATATTTATTCCATTTACATTACCCACATCCTCTACCATTCCTCTTGTATCATCCTGTATCTCAACCAGTCCTTTCTCCCTAAGACATATGCTGCCCGTGAAGGTGGTTTGGCTTTCACACCCATTTTCTTCCACCTCTCACCTTTGCTCCCATTCTGATTCTGATTGGCCTCTTTGTCTGGTTTGCTCCTCACAGGGTTTTCTGGCACATACTGTCTCCTTTTTGGGCTTCATGTTTCTGAATTTTATTCCCTGAAACTTTTCAGTTTCCCATGATTTATTCCCTGTCACACTAACTGGTTGGGTTTGTCAACTCATTAGGCTGGCATATTCAGATTTATCCATGGAAGGTTGCTATCTCCACATTGTTTCTTCTCTTCAAAGTTGTCATATCACCAGGTCTTTGGCTGCTCACCTTTACCGTCCTTAGGAAGAGATTGCTCCCAATAACTTCATTGTTTAATATCTACATGATTTGGGTGTATCTTTCTCAGGTGGATATTGTCTCCTTCTCATGGTGATTTTACACATGTCTGTTCTCCTTTGATCAGAGTAAGTCTTATCACTTTCTTTCATTTATGCTTTTATTTTTAGCAACCCTCATTTTAATCATTGATAATGGGATTCCACTCTGTGGTGGGTATTGCCTGGTTAGGTATGCTCTATTTACTGATTGCACTATAACACTCATTGTAGGGATGGAATGTTCTGCAAGACCACTATTGGCATACCCAGTGGTATACATATATATATATATCTGTTTCTAGATATCAGTAAGTTTCACTCACTGGTAGACCACCAATCATCGGCTTCAAAAGCAAAGCAGAAGGGGATTTCTACCCATCCCTGCCAATCCGTTGATTGAATAAATAGGGGTCAGTCTGCTTTTCAAAATAGGCAATCACAGACACCCATTGCACTTTCTCTGGTCTTTTGTTTTTCAGTAGAGCAAGGAGTCCTTACCAGTTCCCAGTCACTAGGATGGTGGACCAGGGAGGCTTTCTCTTGAGTGAGTTTAGAAATTTTACCATACATTCTCATTATACGCACAGTGAGAATAGGGCAAATCTGGTTTCCCTCCTTCCATTTCCCCAGTATGTCTTTTCCCAAGTGGATAATTGTCAGTTGGGGCAGGTCGAGTCTATGCGGTATCTTCCTCATAATACCGGGTTCCGGATGACACTGCCCTGTTCCTACATTGAGTGCAGTAGAGACCCCCATTTTTGTTAATTCCAATTGCAGGAGGTTCTTTCCCTGCTCCAATGGTTGAGATTGGGGGACTTCATTTGCCTAATAATACTGATAACAGGATGTACGTACACTGTCCATACTGTTGAGCGAATGTTCCATGTTCTCCTCATAATTGTGAATGCTGGATGTCTTTTCTCTGCACTTACAATTGAGTGAGTTATGATTTCTGCTTGTAATACCAGTTACAGTTGTTACCCTGTTCTTACAGTTGAGCTGAAGCAATGCCATGGCCCCATAATGCCAGTGTCCGGTTTGCTGTGATTTTTGCTTCTACAGTAGTTTTTTGGAGTTTTTCTGGTTTTGGCCAAAAGTAATTTCCTCTTTATAATTCTGGTTGCTTGATGTACACATTGTAAATTTAGAGTTCTAATATGTATATCTTCATGGTTTTTCAGTGTCATTCAAATTGACCTATCCTTGGCATAGGGTTAACATGTAGTATATTAAAAATGTACTAATTGATTTCCAATAAACAATAACAAAATAAATAATGTAGCATTAAAAGTTGTATCAGACATTTTATTAAGGTAATAAAACACCGATATTACATATACATTTTATTCAACATTGTACCTTATATTGTGTAAAATTATATTATACAAACATACTCTGTGATTAATTATGTATAAAGAGGCTACAGTTACAATATAGTCTTAATAGACTTAGGGAAAAAATGTATTTGTAGTAACTTGACCCCGATTGTAAAAGTTTTTTGCCTTTACTTTCAAAATTGTCCAGAGAATGCAACCATATTCTTGTTTATGATAGTATTTTCACCCCTATTATTCACCTACAAAACAGAACTAACTTGAAATTATGTCAGGAAAAATTCAATAGCATAATGATCATAATAAAGTTTTCTTAACACACATCAAAAAATAGTTATGTTTTTATTCTATTATTGTTATTATAACTTATGCTATTAAGCATTAATGGACAATTTAAAGTATGTTACCTATCTGTATTTTTGTTCAAATTTCATATTTTTGTTTTCTTAAGATAAAGAACTTGAGAATGTTTTTTTTTACAGTGGTACTTGCTTTTGTTCAGAGAAATAGCTTAAACGTGCAGGTATTAATAGGACTCTATCCATGCATTCCCATGTTATGACTAGGGAGTGTTCCCTTGCTCATTTTAAAATCTTGCAAGTAATCAGGTACTTTCTTTGCAAGTGTACATAATTATTGATCAACTTTGTGGAAAGCTCAACTCTGGTATTTTAAAACTAGCTTTTTAAATGCACACCATGTTTAGAAATGATGCAATACCAGAAATGATATGTTGTTTATGAAGAGCTTGTAAAATTGGGTTTATTTTATTTAGCAAATAATATTAACATATTCAAAGTATATAACTGTATATACAATTAAAAAGTATTATTTTACTACAACTTAAAGGAATTTATAGGTTCAACAATACTCACATATTACTGTAACACAGAAAAATTAACACTTTACAATCTTCATGTTATCAATTTAATTTAGTTAATTTGAAAAATTGTTACTTCTTTGAGTTGTGGTGGTTTTATTAAAAATCTTTAACTGATACATTAGTCTATGTCATGCGTAACTAAACAAAAATTTTATAAAGAACTATTAAGTATTATTAAGAAATGATTTGGGTGTTTTTTCATATAAATAAACTACAATTACTATTTCCCCAGTGTATGTTAATTGAAAGTATATTTGGACAGCTGTATATTAGAAACAAGGGCTTCAGCTTATAACACATAGGCTTTATGGAAAGTAAATATGCTATAAGAAGAGGGAAAAATGCATATACACTAAACAAATGGATATGATGCTAAAAACTTAAAGTAGCTTAATTCTTGATTTCTTAAAATGCAGGAAAAAACCTTTTCTATTTTGTTAATCATGTTTAGTGAAAAGAAATTCGAAAAAAAATATCCTACTTATATGCCCTAATTTTTCCTGGCAAGGTTACGAATTTAATTGTTTTTGTCCTAATGTTCAATGACAAATACACATGATAAGGATAGAGATGTTTAGAATTGACATATTGCTGATTCAAAGAATAAATTGTTATATTGCCTCACGCTACAATATTGTTATTTACAAAATAATGGTTAGTTTTATATCCCTGATTTTATTCATCTCTACCTCTAACAAGTGAAGTGGCACTTGTTAAGTTTACTGTCCCTTTGTACTGTAAAGATGCACCTAAAGTATCCACATGCTTGATTGATTAAATGTAGTTTGTACATTCTGTTAACCAGTGTGTGATTGATCACCTTGAAATTGTTGTGCACACAATTGTGTAAAGATGATCCCAAGAACTAAGTGTATGTAACTTATGTTATCCTGTACCTACTGGTAAGGTCACTAGTAACTGTTCTGTTTAGTAATTTTCTAATTTTGTAATCAATGTTACAAGGTACATCATAATTTAGACAATGTAGTGCTCTTCTGAGGATGCTTAGATATTTTCAAACAATTTTTTTTATCCATTTAATAAACTTAACTATAAAAAAACAACAACAAATCACGAGTAAAATATTTTTAAACATCTGACTAGTTTTAGCTGTAGGTCTACATCAAGTGTTAGTTTTTGAATCCATCTTTTATTGTTGGAAAGTAATGGATTTTTGAAAACATGTTCAAGAATGCACAAGATATGACCAAAAATACTGATGTTTATATAAATATAAAGAAGTATCTAAGCTCCCTAGATGTCGTACTTATTTGAGACATACAAAAAAAATTAATGGTTTTTGGATTTTTTTTCTGTCATGTATTTTTGAATATGTTTTGAAAATACTTCCTTCAAACAATGAAAGATGTATTCAATTAACTAATGCCTGATGTAGGCCTATGGCTGAAACTACTCATGCTTTTAAATCTTTTATTTGTGAGTTTTTTCTTAGGGTAATAAAAGTTTATTCACTTTATATTAAAAGTTGTTTGAAAATCTCACAAAGTAATGTTTATTTTCATCAAGAAAAAAGTAGTTTTAGTAAAGTAATCTTGTGGGATTGTGTAGTGAGCACACCATTGAACATTGTTAATTGTATTTTCAGTTTATTACAGGTTTCATAAGATATTATGTATATGGTAAATTTTCCTGTATAATAGTTTACAATTAAAAAGGTAACTTAATCCTAAATTAATTTACTTGAAGATGTCTGTCATATTAAATGAATAGTAGTTGATATTTTCAAATTAGACTCGTGATTATAATCAATCTGTTGAATGTAGTTGATTACTTGAGCAAAATGATTAATCAATTAGCAACTTTCATGAATTGCTCATTTCGTTTCTTAACTATGAAACCTCGTTGAGAAATGTTTCAAAATTAAAATATTGACACATATTAAATTGGAGGAATAAATTTTTAGAATACTACCATTTTACTTAGAAGTCTCTACTTCTTATAGGTAAACTAATGACATTTTTATTCTTAGGTGGACATCTAGATGTAGTCCAGCTTTTAGTTAATGCTGGTGCTGACATTGACAGCCAGGACAATAGAAAAGTGTCTTGTTTGATGGCAGCATTTAAAAAAGGACATATAAAACTTGTAAAATGGATGGTAAAACATGTCTCCCAGTATCCATTAGACCAAGAAATGACTAGATATATTGCCACCTTAAGTGATAAGGTAAGTTTAATGGTCTTGATTTTTGTACAGTGTTAAATAATACACCTGTCTTCAGTATTTGGGTAGCTATCAAATGTAAAACAAAGTGTTATTTCAGTTTTTTTCCTTCTGTTACTTGAGTCATAAATCTACAATCTGAATGTTTAAAACCTTGCCTGTTATCAGTTGCTGATAGTTATAATAATAATAATAATAAAACATACTAATAAAACAATATTGAAACATTTTCAAATTATATACAAGAAAACTGTTTTATATAGTAAGTGTGAATAGTTTTTAATCAGGTATACATTAATGTGTTTTGATTTAATATAGTGAATTAACAATTTTAATAGTTAATATATATGCATATTTTAGATAAAGATTGGTTTCATATTAAGTTTTATAATGATGAATCAGAGACCAAATATGTATTTTTTTTTCTTGAAAAAAAGTTTGTTTTAACACTTTCCATTATTGCATTTAAAATTGTGATGAACAAAAAATCTCTTTAAAAAAGTTAAACAGAAACAGATTTGAAAATGATGTGGTGATGTTTTATGACTTGGTTCATTTTAGCCTAAATCTATTTATATTGTACTGAATCGTGACTTAATCAAACTCTCAACTACTTTGAATTGAGCCACATTTTTGAGGAAGAGTATTGGCTGCCATTTGGTGAATTTCCACCATTATTATTAGAAAATTGGCCAGTCACAAAACTTGTTCCAATAAATAAGGAAAAATGTTGGTTAAAGACTGGCTCAGAAACAAATACTGGAAAAAGTCAGAGAAATTTGTATTTTGTATTTCTATCCTGAGAAACACCAGGGGATTTCATTTTACAAACAAAATAAAGGTCAATGAATTTTATATGATTCAGTGAAAAAATATATTAAAATGAGTGTCTGAAAATTGCATATAGGTGAATTTGATGCATTTAGCATGTCAATATTTGTAATTTATGCATAAACATTACTTTATCTACATCAGTATTTTTGTTTACTGTTGATTGTTATGATGTGTGAAGGCAGCTGCAATAGCTTATGTAAACAGTAGCTAGTTTCTTGCCTAAAGGGGTGTAAGAGCTCTGGATAAGGCTTCATTTTGTCTTCTTAAAACAAGTCCATGGAGGATCATTTTACTACACATAAAAACTCTAACAAATTCCTTTTAACAGATAGGTTATTTCCTATTTTCATTAAATAAATTATTTTGATCTTACAAATTTTAGTATCTATAACAGTCATAGAAGGAACATATAATATCTTGGGTATATTAATTCCTTGACATATTTGTGTAGGAAAATTTGAAATATGTCAAAATGAAAATGAACAGTTTAATTTCTGAAGCTTGAATTTTCAAAGATAGAACAAATCTATAAAGTTTTGGTGATTATTATTTTTATTTGACATATTTACTTATATTTATTAAATTATTTACAAAAATAACTGATAATTGTATTAAGTAATAATTTATCTATAAGTTGGATTTAATTCATTGTAAAAAAATATACATCACCATGAATTGCTTATAGCACATGATGCTATGATTCATAGTAGAGCTTGGGCAGGGGTCATTGAAAGGCAATATCTCCAAGAGACAGGTAGAATATCACCAATAACAGTTAAGGAAAATATACAACAAATAAAATGCTAAGAACAGGAAATAATAAAAACTAAAGGTAAAGATGAGTGCATGCAGCTTGTCAGAATTGGATTGGTTTTGATATTGTTTTGAAACTATGAGCTTTCAAACCACAGTATGCTCTTGAGTTGGAGATTGTGTATTGTTAGTATGGTTGAGTACAAGTGATTTGTTAGTATTAGTCTAAATCCAAGGACTATACCAGAATAAAAATAATGTGAGCATTTATGTAAGTACAAAATGAAAAACTTGACCCTTTAGTGGTGTAATACTGTAATGCAATATCACTGTCAGTGATGAACGTTTGCGTACAGTAACATTTGTGTGTGTGCCAGTTACCATAGCCTTTACCGGTATGATTTTACATGGTGTAAGATTATCATGCTACTATAAACATTGTGGATGTTTTATCAGTAGGTTTGATTCCTTGTACAAAGTGTCCATATATATATAAATCAAATTTAAAACTTAGTTATTTCTAAGTGTAATCTGGCATTCTTGTGAATGAACAAAACTTTCATAAATCTGAAAATATTTTTGATAATGTGATCAATAGGTAAATATAGTCATGTCAATTCAAAGATTTAAATACTTTTTATTTAGATGAACTCGATTTGCACTGTTTCAAACCACGTGTGAAAATAATAGAAGGTGCTTTGGATCAGTGGATGATTTTGTTAATGTGTGCACTTTTATAGGTATAGTAAATACAAGTTTTGTACAATTTTTCTTCATGTACATTAGTGTAGTCCATGCATATACGGTAAAAATGAAAAAGTACAAATGAGAGCTCCTGATGCATTATATGGAGACAGACCTCAGGCTGAATTTTGAACTAAATACATTAATATTTAAGGGACATGGAAATTTTAAGATATTTGCCACAAGTTTACTTCTCCAGTTAATTTTTGGAGTTACCCTTTGTTTATTGGTTGGCAAACAACATATTGTTACATAATCTCATAAGTTTGTTATATTATTTTGTATAGATTTTATAATTCAATATAATTGGTCATGTACCATGTGGTTTCTAGATTTAAGAGGTGGCAATCCAGCATCATGCCAGATGACATCACAGTTTTTCAGTTGTTGATTGGTTATGGTTTTGTGGCATGATGTTTTCAGGGGTAACAGCTTTTAGGCTTTCAATGACATCCTCTTCTCTCCAGACAACTGAGCTGTGTAGATGTTCCTTGTTTTGTGATGGTTAGTCCCTCCTCCTTTTTCCTTTCAGAAAATTATGTACGGTGTTTGTGTTCTATTTGTGCTGTTTTATTAAAGAGATTTATCTTAAGTAATTGACATTTAGAATCCTGTAACTGGACGTGGTTCACCAATTATGTTAATCTAAATTAAAGTTGTAATTTTTGAATTAACTTTTGGCATATCCCTAAATCAGTTTTAAGAATATCCTGGTATTTTTGCTACCATGAGCACTGGCTATAGGCCTTAGTTAATCAGCATGAAGTCATAATAATATGCAGTCAGAACAAGGAGTAATATCTCTTTTAAGCTCTACCTCTGTTTATGTCTGTTGGTTATGGCTATTCTGAAGACAAGAAATGTTTTTGATATTTGGTTTGTGGAGAAACCTACTCCTGATCTTATGTGCTTGAGACTTCCTTTGAAGAAGCAAGTTCTTTTAAAGTGTCTCTATCACCATGTAGAGGAGAAGAAGACTATCCAAGAAATCTGTCATCTGGGTTTTGTTTATTGGCAAAAAGCCAGGATACCAACAACAACTCATGACTATGTGATATTAAAGCTAGAAATGTTGACAGCAAAGTACAAAGCCCTGAAAAAGAGCAAGAACAAACCACAAGAAGCCCATCACCTGAAGGAGGACATCTTTTAAGAGATTTAAATGAATTATTCGACATTTCTCACACAAAGGCAGAGTTCAAAAGAAAGGCCACATTTGTCTTTGGTGCTGCTGTCATGAGAAATTTTTCATTTTTATATTTTGGACCACCCTAATGTATGCACATCAGAAAGTAGTGCTTTATCTCTTCCCAGCCCTGGCATTCCAGGTGTCACCTGGAGAAAATGTGGAACATCAAATTTTGAAAAATTATTTTTGAGGTATCTACGCAATTTTTCTCCAAATTAAAATTATAACTGAAATGCTGAGATTTAAAATTTCCTTTTAATGTAAGGTTTATTAAAATTTGTTTTGGAAGAAATAATTATAGAAATAATGCTATCCGTAATTGTCAGTTTTTGGCCTCCTTTTGAGGTTTTTATTGAGATGATGGAAATCGTTAAATTTTCCAACTGTGAAGAGACAACTTGTCAAAAGACAAAACAAAACTAGAAATGCATAGATGTTTAACAACTTTGTAGATTATTTTTAGCTCAAATAGTTTAAAATAGTGACTTTTTGAAGTAAGTGTTGTCAAGAACTGTACAATTCAGTTATCTTCATTTTTTTTTATAACTTTCTTATTTAGGCAGTTGTCAAAGTTGTAAATGTATCATTTGAAACATGGGATTATTTTCTTTCTCATAGCATATTCATCATAGAGATTCCTTTTTTTCTTATGTAGGTATACAAAAATTTAAAATGTTATGATGCCTCAAACCAGTTAAATGTGTGTAGAGGTGTATTAGATTTTTTCTAATTGTTTAGTTATATTATCCTGTTATTTGTAAGCAGAAAGGTAATAAATTTACTTATGAGTTTTCTTGTATATTTATATATTTTACTGGAGAAATTGTCTTGGCATTTAATTTTTTGTATACAATAACTTTAATTATTGTAATCTGAGCCTGAGGCTAAGTCATCAGTAAATGGTTAGATATTTTATAAAAAATAGGTAATAAATAAGTTTTATGTATAAAATAGAGTGAGATAAATACTATATTTATATTAGTTTTTATACTCTAGACAGTTATTTATTTTACCTTTTCTCTCAACAAAGTGGCCAAGCATATGTATCATAAGGCTTACTATGGTATACATATATATATATATATATATAAAAAGTGGCTGTCAGTTCAACTACTATGTAATACATATGAAAGGAGTAATAAATAACTATGACATGTAGTAGTTTTGATTGTATTATAAATCATAAGTTTATAAGAAAAATCAAATTTACATTTCAAAATGTATCATAGATATTATGCAGTGTATTAAAAATGTCTGTGTTTCAGTGTTGGTAACGTTTATGAGTTATTGCTATATATTAGCAAAAACTTAAAATTAGTATTATACCCTAATTTGGTCTAGAGAAGGTTAATAAATACTGACATGAGAAGCATACTTATTAAAGAACATTCCATTTTACAGCACTAAACATGTTCCTATTAAAAGGCAAATGTAATGATCACATATATTAAAATCTATAGTAATGTTTTTTTTATTTAAATTAAAATAAAAAAGTGTGATTGGTAATGGTATGCAGTATCATAAACAAATGGATAAACTGCATTTATTGTTTATGTTCTGATGAAGTATCAATAGTTTGAGAATGGTGGGACCAATCATATCGAAACTTTGCAAGGTGTGAAATTTAAGCAAACTGTGACGTAATGTACAGCTTGAATAATGTTTTGAAATTTCACATATTATTATATGTAATAGGTAAATCATGTGTTACAAACATACATCAAGTGGTCAGGGAATAACATATTTTGGTCAGGAAAAAGTCTGGGAATTTCATTCTGCTCATGGTATGGAAACCATATAGTTGTCTATCTCTGAGATTGTCTTGTCATTGTCAGCTTTGATATTTATGATAAACAAAATTCAATATGTGAGGCTCATTTTAACTGGCTGCTTGATGGACAGCTGACCAATCACAAAATGTTTTTTGAAGCCGGTATCTGAATGCCTCACAAATGTACAGACCTCTAAAAGTGCAATGGCAGATAAATAAAAAGAATCAGCAAAGAGGTAGGCCTTAAATCTTTCTACATCTGCCTTAATGATGTGTGCTTCTTGCCTGTTTCTTTTGAATTATATATAGAATAGATATTGGACATTATTTTGTGTGAGAAATCACGATCTGATGAAAGTTGGGGAAGAGCAGGTATAAAATAAAATTTTTGAAATTGTTTTTAATAAGTAAGGACTTTTTGTTACAAAATGAAAACATTTTACAAATGTATTAAGTGTTGCATATTCCAAAAATATTTTCAGTCTCTTAAGTTTTATTACACATAGGAAGGTTGAAATTGTGGGACCAGGGAATTGTCTTACTGATCTGATGTATTATCTGCCATTACATCATCATATCTATTTTTTCAGGCAAAATGTACTGAAAAAATATGCATGAAGTTGTTTTAAAATTGACAAAAAGTGTGATTGAATAAGCAGAGGCTCATGCACTAGCATAATATTCCATATCTACTTTTTAAAAGACTCAGTTTGTAAATTATTGGTCAGTAATTTGCCCTTTTGGAAACTGATTTGTAAAAGTTTTTACCTCATTTTTTCATGAAATGATCAGTTTGTACCTAATTGGTATAACCATGCCAATTATAAACACTTGTGTGTCTTATTAGTCTAAATGTTTCATGAAATAACTAACTTGTATGTTAACTGATCTGTAATTTTGATCATTGGAACATGAGTTAGTAGTAAAAGTTTAATGTTTACTGCTCATCCTAGCAATAAATAATGTGAATATTTAGTGACCCAACATGGCATATAATGCACTAAAGGGCACCTACACCACTGGTCTGTCTGTATGGGCTGGGACCCGGGACCAACAAAAAGTTTCATATGCATTTTTCATCCGATCATTTTGCATGCCACTGCTTGATTCACTTCAGCCTCTGATTAATACAATCCAGGTTCAAAGATAACACTGCTATTTTTTCAATATTTGTTTTCTTCACTGCAAAGATAAATTTCAAACTGACTTTAAAATGTATGCAGTGGAATTTTTTGATAAGACTGCAAACTCTTTACGAAGTTGTTTGTTTTCTGTTTCTATAAAACATTTCATTATTATTTCCCAAACACAATAAGGATATTTAGGTAAATGTTCGTGTTATTAGGGCAACTTGTTGTCTATGTTTTGTATTATGTGTTTTATAGAATAAAAGGGTTATGTAAAAACATACTTTTTTTTTTCTAGTTACAACCTTTTTAATTCTTATTTTATTTTATTGATTAATATAGGAGCTCCACAAGAAGTGTAACCAAGCTTTGGAAAACATTAGAACAGCTAAAGAGAGGCAAGCTGCTGAAGCTAACAAATATGCTAGTATTCTTTTAGAAGAGCTTGATAAAGAACGTTCTAGAGAAGAAAGCCGAAAAGCTGCTGCAGCTCGTAGAAGGGAAAAGAAAAGAAAGAAAAAGAAAGAACGGCTGGAACAAGTAAGATAAATAGGAGCTAAAAATGGAGTTAATTATATACTAATGAACAGGTGATTGATATAAAAATTTGTCACTAGCCGAAAAGGTAGATGAAAGGTTACAGAACTGCATATAATATCTCATTCTCATAAGTTTTTTGTTTTGGTTTTTCTTCTAGAACATAACTAATTGTATAAATTGTATTAAAAGAATACAAGAATATTCGGCCCCGGCCGGTTATTGGGCTACCTGGTAATACTCGGCTCTGGCCAAGTGTCGAAGTTAAAAACAGCCAAATCCAGGTAATTGAAAATGGCATCTAAGCTCTAATCTTTGTGGCAACTTACGCGGTACTGAAAGTTACAGTCAATAATTGGTTTAGTTAAAAAAATATGTTCCGAGCAACAAAGAATGACCGCCCACTGAAAGTTGAGGATTCAGAGAACAATAGAGGTTAATAATAGGCATGGCTTGAGAAGTGGATTTCTGGGGAAGGTGGGGGTTTTGAGAACAATAGGGGTTAGGATTTGCAAAGTTGAGGCTAGGCATTAATCGGAATAATGATTCTAAAATGTGTCAACATGACTGTTTCTGCAATTACTTTCACTGGCCTCACTTTTCGAAGTCACATGAAGCTCAATTTTCCACGGTGGCCAGAATAGCAAGACATTATCTCTCTGCACCTCTGACCAGTGTAGACAGCAAATGGGCTGTTAGCACCACTGGCAACATTATCACACACGAAAGTGTGACCCAAAGCTCTGAATGCCTGTAATACAACTTATCTAGAAATCACCACTCTCCCACTTTCCATGTGTTTTATTGTGCATGCTTCAAAAGAGATTACATAAGTTATGCTTTCCCAACATAATTAAGGTTTTTTTTGTTGATAGTCATGCTATTAACATTGTTCGTTATAAATTATTATGTCAGCATTAACTACTGCTTCATGTCTTTACCAATATTGAAAATTTTACAATTTCTCTGGAAGCCTTTGGCATGCAGGAAGTTCTTGTGGCAACTATTGGCACTTATTGATTAACATATTCATGCTTTTAATCCTGAATTGTCACCCGAGAATAAAGCCTTCATTCTGAGCATCCTTAGGGCAAGTCTTTACATACGACTGGTCTCCTTCTCTCAATCTCCTGTGAATTCAGTTCTTCAAATATTTCTGGTTCTGGATTGTACTCCTACTCCACTTGACTACATCTTTAGTGTGGTCTGCATTTTTACCTTACATCCTTATAATGTATATTATTTTATTTAATTTTTACTTTCTTTGGTTCTCTCCTTTTCAATTCTGGTATTGTAACTATCAGTTTTTCAGAGGTAAGTCTACCTGATTTGAATTTCACATTTTTAGGATTAAAATTTATTTCAAACAGGTTTTTACCTCTGAAATGCATTCCCGCCTACCTCCCCACAATCAGGTGATTTTTGGTTTTCCATCATAGTAGCAACCAGGAAGTCTGAATTATGGTTGGAAAGCAGAACTTATCTATGTTTTCCTGATGCATGTGTAGTAAGTCATAGGAAGGTGAAAGAGTGCAGAATTCTGGTTAAGGTGGCACATGCTCTGGATTGTGTTAAGGACATTCATTGTTTTAGTTGCATGGTTGTTGACAGCTAGAGGACAACTAAACAATGAAATGCTTTTAGTATTTCAGAAATAAGTACCTGTTTGAAATTAAGAATATTGCTAAAAATCCAAAATTTCATGAACTCATTATTAATTTTTATTTTTAAAATTTTATTAAATGAATTTTTACTATGTATTTTGTTCAGTCTGAGAAAGTTTTATTGGGAATCTTATGTGCTATCTTTTGTGCTTAAAGCATTATTATTTATTGAATGCATGTTTTAATTGTTTTATTTATACAGATATTCTTAATCTCACAGGCTTTCTTATTATATCCTAGTAATTTCATTCCTCTCTATTAACCTAGGTTTTTGTGTAAATATTGATTATCTTCAAGGATTTAGTTTAGTTGTTTAAGGTGTCTTTCTTTTTTGTTATATCTGGACTGTTCAGTTAGCTGTTTGTTTGTTTCTTATGCTTGTGAGTCTTGTGTGCATGTAATGTTTTGCTGTTTCCTGTATCCTGTGCTGTTCCATGATTTTGGTGTTCAGTCTAAACAAGGACTATAATTATTGTAAAGTTTGCTGAATCACATTTTATGTTTTGATAATAGCATTAAAGTTTGCTTGAAAATATACCTAAGGCAAAGGAAAAAGCAGCTATAGTATGGTAATATCACGTATCTCACTTTTCTATTGTATATATTTAATATGGTAAAAAATATTTAAATTTTGCAAAATTTCTTATTCTAAAACTGTTAAATCAGAACTTGGTGATGTGTTAATTCAGTCTTATGTTTATAACATCAGTCAATCAAGGATGTAATCTGCTGTTTCATGAGATTGTTGTAATGTATCCAACATCTGTTTCAATTTGGGATTATTTTAAGATTGTCATGAAGCAAAGATACTTCTAGATTCTTGGGATCCAGTTTTTGATTGGTTAACTATAAAGATAATGCAGATTGTGAGAGCATTTGTGGTGCTTTTAGACAGATTTGTTTCTTTCATTTTGAAATTCAGTTTTCATCAAAATACAGATTTAGGATTAAAAGAGTAACTTAATCCTAAATTATTGTACCTGAAGATGTTTATCATATTAAATGAAGAAATGTTTGAACTGGTGGTGGCATGTTATTGTCCACTAACAGTTTCTGTAAAGGATCACATTCCAAACATGATTAATTGTAACAAAATATTGTTGATTTCCACTACTCATGCTTTATGTGTGATACTCTTCTGAATTGATTAAAACATGAGAACTCTGTGTGTTACCTTGGTACTTTCTAACTGTAGGAAGTTAAAGGTATGGATGGTCAACACAGCATACAGGTGAAAACGTGTGTTTGCTTTGGATTGCAGGCCATTTTTGCTTGAAAAATCAAACTTATGGCAGGTAAACTTACAATCTGTTTAATAAGTAAATTTCTAACACATAGCTTATGTTAAAAAGCTTTTTAGTGAGAAGTGAATGAAGACTCGGTCATATCTAGTTTTAAGTCTATTCTTCACATACACACACAGCAGTATAACTTTTTCTTTTCACAGAATTGTAAAGTGAAATAGGAAAAATATACATACCTAGCATTTATTCAGTGGAAATTTCTCTAGAGAAGAATTTTTAAAAATTATGTTATCAATTTGCTGCATACAGAAACTGTTGAATACAGTCTTTACCAATATTTGTATAAAATCTTCATAACTCGTATTTCTATCTCATTATGCATGAACCGTGCCTCTAGTCATACCTTGTATAATTTTTAAGGGGTTTGATTTGTTGCACTGAAGAAAATGGTAATCTCTCTTTTTATCTTATTTTTTTCTTTAGTTCCGAGCTGCTAGTACAACTACACCTGAATGGAAGAAACTTGAAGAAAACATGAACCAGGTAATGAGTAGTGAGCTAAAGCATCTTAAACCTCAGAGTAGTCAGTCTGATGGTGAAGATGATGATTATGATGATGACGATGATAGTGAAGATGAAGATGGAGAAGAAGTAAACAGAGTGATTGTAGTTACAGGTAAATTCTCTTTTCTCTGGGGTTATGCCCACATAAGATTAACACTGCCTTCCATATGAAAGAAAAGCATTGTGGGTTTCACCAACTTAGTAACTTGGTCAATGTAATGTGAGCTTTAATTTTTTATTATATATATATATATATATATATATATATCACATTTCTCAAACCTTTAGGTAATTTATTTTTATGTGGTACTTTGTAATCTTTTCAACTAATGTTCTGATGTCTTTCAACTTCATGAGTATTCCTTATATAATAGTTTTACTCCAAATTGCCGATTCACTTATAAAACATAAAAAAAAATCCCAGTTGAGTAGTTCTTTAATGTTGTGACACCCCCCATCGTGAGGATATCCTCTTTATTAATAATATGCACAATGATCATTTTTCTCAGCTTATTTAATGATTCTTTTGTTTTTATCATGGATAAAGTTGATAGTTATACATCTGCAGTTTTTATATAACACAAGCAATGTTTTGAAGTTTTACAGAATACACAACAATCTCACTAACTTCTTGTCAGTAATATATAACCTGTAAGCTGTTTCTGCTGAAACAATTTATTTGTTCTTCTTATCTTTTTTATTGCACTTATTCTATCAACTTTCTCTTCTTAATTTTCTTTGAATTACTTTAATCTTTTCTTTTCTTGATGTAACCAAAGATTTATAATGTACACTAGTTGTAACTTATATGTAAATAAATAGGCTTCTTTATGTTAAATCTATCAAACTAAGACACGAAAACAACATTATAAAGAATGAATTGAAAAAGATCGTTTGAATTAAACTAGTGTTTTAATTCATGCTTTATAAAGTTGTTTTTGTGACTTAGTTTGAATTGTAACATCTATTTGATAGGTGATAACACAGAAGTCTCAGTGTCTTTAGCTTCTCTGTGTGTATCTTTGTCTTGTGTATCATCAGATAATTTTATGTAATTTTTAAATGTAGAAATTAATTTTATGGCCAGTTATGAATTAGGTAACGATTGTTTCCATCCTCTTGAATAGTATTATGCACAATCTGAATAAATAGATTATTAGTGAAAAAACCACAATAAATGGAAAAAACTGTCAGAAGTTTGATGCAACTATTCTCTTTGAAGTTCTTTGTTGTTCCGTAATTTGTATAATAGTTATAGAAGCTATTTATATTAAGTTAAAGTTTAGTTTAATCATGTTAATTTGGCATAGATATCTCTGTTAATAGCCATCCCAGATTGGATATTGTGGTTTTCTCACAATATCAACAAGACTTTAAATTGAAATTTGGCCTCAGCTTGTTCTAGAATAAAGACTGAAAAAGGCTAATAGGAAAAGAAAATTCAAATTTCAACAGGAAATAGGGATCGTTGGTTATTTGTAGAATTGCAAAAAGATGTGTCCAAAACAAAATAAATGTTGCAATAAAAAGTACACAAATAAGTAAAGTGATACTAGTTGGATAGATTTTAAAACGATTATCAATCCCTACTTTGGTTGGCATCGTGATTCATATAGCTAAATGAAGCAGTCTAATCCTCTTCATTTGTTCAGTTTTTATATGTCCATGGAATAGACACAACATCTATAAACTTTCAGTGTGGCCATATCCCTCATAGCTATAACTTTTACAAGAATTAAAACCACAATCATAAATTTATAAAATGTAATCTATACTTTGTTCTACAGATAAGTTATAAAGCTGCCAAAGTAGGGATTAAATTTTATAAGCAGGATATTTTATAAGCTTTTTATAGCAGGATCCCTATTTCATTTTAAATTCATACTTTTTTAGTACTCTTGTTTGTTTACTTTTTATGTTATACCTGTATAAAGTATCAACTTTACCCTTAGAAATTATTACTCATTCATTCATGAGTATGTAGTGACATCCATTGGGTTGAATTGGGTTTAAAAGATATTTAAATATGTGCATGGTATGTTTACCATCTATAAAGAAATTTGTGTATATTTATTGGAATATCAAAAGCAGATACCTACAGACCAGTCAAGTAAGCTGGAGAAATCTTATAGCAATAGTCCTAGCTGTCTAGGGGCTAGCCTCATTGACATGAGCATGTAGATAGGTAGTAGATGAAAAAGTTATTGTTTTAGAAATTTTTGAATTGTTATACCGGAAATGTTAGTGACCTTTTTGGAGTATTATTAGTATATATGCACATAATATATCATAACCAATACTTTGAATTGTCAGTTTTTTGCTTATCAATTCAATATGATGGTTTTTCGGCACATGAATTATTTGGAAACCTTGTAAATCCCAACTAGTAAGTACTACTGTACTTAATAATATTAGCAAGTATCTAAAAAAAAAAGCAAAGTAAAGAGGGGGGATAATAAAAAAGAATGAAAAAGGTTTAAAAAAAGGAAGTTTTTTTTTTTAAATCTGTTACTGACTGGTAAATTACCAGAAGATTAGATATAGGTTTAATTACACAGTCACAAATTGCTAAGTTACTGGGACAAGTACAAATGCATGTTGTGATTAGTTTAGGTATGTTGCAGAGTTATTTACTGTGTAGGTTTAGTACAAATTATCATCATATAATTTTAAGTATGGTCACTTTGTATTTCATTTTTGTTACATAAAGTGTTATCATTGGTATTCAGTTATAGGAATAAGTAAAATGTTACTACATGTTAGTTAGTGATCTAGTGTTTAGTTTTAAATACAGTGACTTGTGCGAATGTACTATCATGAGGCTACTAGACAGAGTTGAGGAACATTTAAGTCTAAAAGTCCCAACCTCAAAAGTATTGACAATAATTCTTTGAATTCCTGTTACAATGTATCTTTAGCTGAATGGTTCAAGTTTGTCTTAATATTCCCACTTTGATTTTATATTTAAGCATTCAGTTGATACACTACATATACATATTTTATATTGTGTGACTCTTATTTTACATAATTTTTACATAAAAGTTTAAAATAGTAATAAGTTTACATAAAGCTTTTTTTTAATATTAAGAAAATATATTGAGGCCTAATGTTTTTATTGCATTACATAATTTTGAATCTTTGAAACATGATTAAATGTTATCCCTTTTTATTTCTTACTTTGTTAACAACAATCTTTGTTTTATTGTTAGCTGCTGAAGGTGAAGCCATTGTTAGTCGAGAAACCTCAAGTAGTAGTCCTGTCATATCCAAACAAGAGGTTTCTAAGCAAATACTGCCAAACAATAACAAGTTAGAATCTGCAGCAAAAGGTAAAAGTCAAGAGTCGAATATTACCATAACTGGCATAGAAGCTGAAGAAAGTCAAGATTTCCAAAGGTCTAGTCCAGAAAATAGTGGAACAGATAAAAAAAAAGAAAGGCCAAAAAGACCAGAAAAGAAGAGAGATCTTTGTGCTAAGGAGAGTAAACCACCAAGTGATAGGGATTGTAAAGAGAAGTCAGATACAGAAAGAATTGTTAAAAAACAGCCTGAAGTAAATTCACACCAATCATTTATATCTATTGCATCCAGGAGCCAAAAGAAACGGAATCAAAAAAAACAGTATTCCTCCTGTAGTCTCAGGTGCTACAACAACTGCCACTATTGTATCTAGTACCCATACCAAAGCAATTTTTTCTACTGTTGGAAGTTCCTTTATAACCACATCTGAATCAAAAGCATGTACAAGTAACAACAAAAATCACCAGAAAGAAACTAATAAAGATGTACTTGTAAATGGAATGAAGAGCACCCCTGTATCTGATTTAGATGATTTTGGTGTTTTATCTCGTAATGCAGAAAGAAATAAGGAGACACAGGAAAACAAGGTATCCACTATGTAAGTTATGACTGTTTGTCTTTCAGTTTTAGTGTTTGCATCACTTAACCGAAAACTTATTTCTGTGTTGGTGGTCTTTTATGAATTCTTGATTGCCCTGGTCAAAGACAGTTTTTAGCCTTTCAGCAACCAGTGTTGAACATCTCTGGCCAGGTGCACTGCTTTTGTTTATGAGTTATATTAAACCATGATGTTTTTATTTCTGATAGATAATAAAGATAGTCTAAAATTAAAGAGTTTACAAGAGCTTTGTTGTATTATACAAACATTTAATACTGAAGCTCAAGTATGAGAACAAAAAATCTACACTCCAAATTTTATCAGTGTGATATTAGGTTTTTTTTGGCTTAATTTCCTCCTTTTGGTCTGTTAGCTATCCCACACCATAACATTTTTTCATGGATGTAAATAAAATGTTTGTGTTGGCAAGTTTCTATGCAAATGAATTGTGAAATCTTTTCCACAGGCATAGTGTAGTAGAATAGATTTTTAGTTTTTTGTTTGTGTGTGTGTGTGTGTGTGTGTGTGTGTGTGTCAAGAAATACAATATATGTTAATATACTGCATTTTACCATGATTTGTATATTGAAGGAATAAGAAAAAGGCTTAGTAGAATTTGTACTTCAGCTAAAATATTTGAGTTAGCAGGTATTAATTGATACATCCAAAACATAAAAGTGGATGATAGTTAAAAGTAGGAATGGGAGAACATAAACATGAAGTAAAAAATGGAAGAATAATAAATCTGTTGTCACAAAAAATATTTCATTAACATATAATTCCATCAATTGGAAACATTATAGAACATTGGATACTGAACAAAATATGATATGTAGGAAAAATAATTAGAAAAACAGTATTGTTCTTTTATTTTTGGGTACCACTACTATATGTAGTATCCATACAAAAGCAGTTTTGTATGCTGTTGTAACTTCCTTTATAACCACTTGTGAATCAAAAGCATTTAGAAGTAACAACAAGAATCATTACAAAGAGCCTAATAATGACATAGTTATGAATGGAATAAAGAGCACTCCTGTATCTGTATATGATTTTGGTGTTATATTAGATACTGTAAAAGGAAATATAGGAAAATGGGTAGGGGAATATGTTTGGCAGCCACCAAAACTTGGGTAGATTTTCCTAGGCTTTGCCCGTGGTCCACTCACATGCTTGAGGGTGGCATATGGCTATATTAAGTGCATTTTTGGTAAACAGTGATGTAGGTCACCACTCCCTTGTGCTAGTATATAGGTGTTTACTGACTACTTAAGAAAAATAGATAAAACACACACACATCAACTACTTAATGAGCAAAGAATACTACAAACATAAGTCAATACTTTCAGTCTTTTTATGTAAAAGGTAGTTTAAAAAACAAAGGCATTAAATTTAGCAAAAGGAAAACAGTAAAACTTGGTTAGTAATTTCATATCTCTTAACATACTGCCAGAAAGTGAGATGTATTTGAAAGTCTGTAGGGTTGCACCAACAATGGAATGTATTTGCAACAGCAGAATAAACATTATACTGGGAAGAACTCAATTTATTGTAATTAATTTTACTAAATAAAATGTAATAACTAGTCTGAAAATTGACTCTGTTACTGGTGTGCGAAGTAAAATTTTCAACTTACATCTTTCAAATATTGGATAACTGTACTCAGACCATGCTGCGATTGTCTTTGATGCAATCAACATTAGACTGTAATCTTCCACCACTTGAAGGAGATTGTCTTGCTCAGTAAATAAAAAGTTCATTCTTTTCTTCAGCACATAGTTGTTTATACGTGTTATCTTTTTATCACTTTTATTACACAAGGGGTCTTTTGCACTGTAGCTAACTTTTAAATGGAATAAGTTAAAGCTTCTATTAAGATTATTATCTTTCTTGTATTAATTTTATTTGTTTACATAACCAAACTGCAAAATTATAGAGAAGTGTTCAAGAGAACTGTGATATAGTTTCCTTGAAATGATAGTCATATTGTCCCTCATCACTTACCCTAGGATAGGGTTCAGTCAGAAGCTGATAATCTTAGTTTTGTCGACAACAACCTCAAAAAGTTTTGGGATAAGTGTTCAACAGACTGTGATATGATTTGATTGAAAAAAAATATTGCATATTGTCTTTAACCCTAGTAAAGGGTTCAGACAAAAGCCAATAATCAATTTCAATTGTCAATAAAATAAAAAAACAGTGATAGTAATTCAGTTTTGTTGATCTTATTAAGTATGAATTCTTGTATCCATGTTTCTGAAGCCACCTGAGGTTCAGACACTTCTCAGTAGGAGTTGTCTTACTCTACTTGAATGTTGATTGGAGTGACTCTGACTGTTAGAGATTTTACTTCCATTGTACCATAATTGGTGGTTTTATCCTACATTCTTTGTCTTGGACCCAGGATGCACTGCCTCCTGCTTCTGTAGTTTCTGCTAAGCTTGCCATGTTTGGAAATATGGCATCAGATACTTAATTTCTCTGGAAACAAATCTTTCAGAGGATTGGATGAGAATACTTCAGAATCTTATCAAGAGTGATCTTAAGCATGCAACATCTGTGTCAGGCTGTTCATGATGACCATGCATCATATTGCACTGAAGCTTCAAATATAACCTCTGACAAGTACATTTATTTAAACAGATCATCAGATGTTTGCTTTGCTTAAAAATTACTAAGGGTATGATTTAAATTATTTCATAATGGTAGTTATGCCTTCAGATAGCCAACTTGTTAAGTTCTCTTTTAATTGCTTATGTCACAAATTTTTGTTATCTTTTAATTTTTTGTTTAATAACAAGTAATGGTGGTTTAAGCTAGTTAGTTAAATTTTTTAATGAATTTGCAGATCTTCTCTTGAAAAGCTAAAGGTGGAACCCCATTCAGATGTGTCGCTGTCAGAGAGACCTCATAGTCCTACAACAACAATTTTTTCTGTAAGAGGATTTTCTCCTCTTACTACACTAACTTCTCCCAAGAAAGGACAACGACGAGAGGAAGGCTGGAAAGAAGTGGTTCGTCGGTATGTTTTGGATTTTATTCATACCATTTGTTGCTGTGTCCTTATTATAAATTTAATAAACCTGTTTTTGAAGGAGTTGTTCTATAGGATATTCTGTTAGATATTAGACTGGTGGCCCAACATGGCCAGGTGGTTAGGGCGCTTGACTTGCAGTCTGCGGTTCGTGGGTTCGGATACCCGTCCCACCAAATTAACTTAAACCCCTATTGTCCTAGTTAGAAAGCCTGTTAAATTATGGTAGTTGTACGACATTGTTTCATATGTTTTTTTATTATTTTCCATTCTTAGGTTCATTATATTTAAGTAAATAAAAATTTAGTGTCCTAGTACCATCATTATAGAAAAAGTAGGCTTAAATTTTATCAGCTACAACAACAAAAAAACAAGAGGTCAAAGGTAAGTACTATATTTCTTGTTTTTCTTGTATATTCTTAACGTGTTATTAAACGTAACTAAAATGTAAAAATTAAAAACCAAGCAGATTAGATGAAATAATACTATAAAAAATAATAATGATGATAAAAATTCTTCATCAGGTATGCTCATAAGCTGCTCATGCATTACATCATTCATTATGGTAATATGACGTATGTATTTGCTGAGTGATTTGCAACTTATGTGGTGGATTATTGGTAAGATGTGGCTCACAGGGCAGTGAAACAAAATTAAGTATAAACAGATGTGGACTCTTATGAGCCTTAAGCTATTTAGGGTAGACAATTGTAGTTTTCTGTTACAATCTGTAGGCATTCTTGAAAGAAAAAAATGTTAATTTAGATTTATTTCATATTTTTTTTGTGGTGGTGTACAAGTTTGGTTAAATTGACCAGGCCTGTATAGAGTTGAAGTAGAGTTAATAACATAAAATATAAGTTTTACTGGAAAAAAAACAATTTGATATTTATTTTGGTTGTTTTATAGGTTACATAAATGAAATTGGAAAATGTTCAGATGAAGAAAAGTATTTTAATCTTAATATTTAAATCACTTTGCACTCAGAGCAATCAATACTCTGATTACACGTGCGCGCGCACACACACACACACACACACACATATATACGGACAAGTCTTATATGGAAACTCTGGTGGTTTCTTTGCGGTTACAAGGTCAGTCACATTAACTGACCCTGTATGAAAAGAGTTAAAATGATTTTGGAGCATCACCATATTGTTACAGCCCATGGTGACACATTTTGTCATGCTTTATATAATGACTGTGCATTTTGACAATAGTTCTGGGGTATAGATTCCATTGCTCCAAGCTTCTTTGTAAGGTTGTCTTTTTCAAAGTGCATCACACCTCTCTGCATGCTTTCTATTATCTGTTTAGTGTATGAGAATGAATTTTCCTCAGAACCTCTTTCAACAGTACAGTTGCACAAAAATCCATAGGTACTGCATTTGGTATCCTAACCAGTATGTTTTTTTACAGAAAAGTATCCATACCTCTTTCATTCTCTAGTTGCTTGAGGTAAGAAGCAGATGAACTGTTAAGTCGTGGAAGCAACAGGTGTGCACATAACTAGTACCACTTTTGCAGGAGGAGAGTTTTTTTTTTATTATTATGTTTCTCACCTTGAACATGTAGAACAGATTTTGCTACTAACTTTTGAATTAATGGATTCACACCTGTTACAAGACACTGCACATTGTTTACTGTGGCTGGGGTACTTCTTGTTGCAGGTTTTCTGGATGTTTCTCATTCCTTAATTTGATTCATGTTCCTTTGTTTTCCATGGCACTAAGCACAAGGAATATTCCTATCATGTAAATTCTAAATCCCCAATCTGAACACATCTTTATGATCTGAGTATATGAATATTTTGTGTTGGAAAGAGCTCTTGCACATCCTTTCCAAAAGCAATAAATTTTCATCAACATCACACTACCTATGAAATGCCAAACAATTTCAAAATATAGTTCTGACACATGCCATTCTTCTGCGACTTTATATCAACTGGCTGTCGTGGGACTTGCTGATTTGTATATTCACAATTATATCAATCTAATGTGCTCAACCATCTGTATATATAATTTCTTTTAAATAAACATTCATAAGTAGTAAGTTACCTTAATTGGAAGAAATATATTGTCTTTTTTTTTAATTAGAAGCATCAGTGATCTACTGTGAATTATTAGTCACATAAATAAATAAAGTATTTTTTTTTGTGGCTTGCAAATTTTATTGTATAAGTTTGCATGGAAGTTTATAAAACATACTGTTGCTTTCTGACTAAAAACTAACCTTGGTGTTTCTTTAGGTCCAAAAAAATGTCAGTACCATCCAGTGCTATTAGCCGAGTTATTGGCAAAGGAGGCTGCAATATCAATACCATCTGTGAAGTATCTGGTGCACATATTGAAGTGGAAAAACAAAAGGGCCAGGGAGATAGAACATTAATTATCAGGTAATATTTTCCTGTGGTATAATTTTTTATAAAACACACTTCACATGTTACAATTTAGTAAAAAAGGATAGTGTTTTAAGTATAAGTTCATTGTTAAGGTGCATTCTGTCAGAGGAGGTGCAGGTTAAATTATTTTCTGACTAAATGAAAATGAGACTTGGCAAGACTCAAGCATATGGCCCTGCTCACCTTTTTGAATGTTGTAAGCTTCAATTTTCACTTCATTCAATGTTAAGGATAGAATTTGTTAGAATTCTTACTTTAACCCTTCAATGGCATCAGTTTGGCCATCTGTGCATGAAAACTAATAACTACTAGATCTCAAAGTATTTGAAACACAGACACTTCAAATGTAAAGCTTGATAAAAATGGGTCATTTTGAAGTGTGAGTTTGATTTTTATGATAAATTTGTGTTTTATAATAAAATATAAACAACTGCAAACATATTTCTATATTGTATTGTTATGCACTAATCTCATAATCACTGGCCTACAAGCCATATTTCACACACAATTGCCCTTACAGCCAGCTAATTATGAATAATACATCATGCAACAGTCCAGTTTATTAAACAAAACTGTGCAATAAAATATGTTATAAAGCCTTAGATCTAATATTTTTATTTGGTATTTATATTATTCCATCTTATACATAAAACTTATCTTTGTCTTATACACTTTTTTCAAATTCTAAGAAATAAAGAACACGATGAGACCTACCTACCCTTTTGTGGACTTCATATTGTACCAACAATTACCTTCTCCCTTAGATGTCAAAATAGCACAGAGTTTTGTATGATAAAAATGATCTACAAAAGCAGTTATACACCTGTAAACCTACGAAGTTAATTTATTACATTTCAGTAGCACAAACAATACAAAATCATTAATAACTTACACTGTTTCAAACATAGTGTCCAGATTGAACCTTATGATAATTAAATGTTTGGAACTTTAAATTCCATATTAGTTTTTGCAGGCTTTCTAATGTTGTCATGTAAAAACATAATAAACTAAAGTCCTATACATTTTAGAAAGTTGCTTGTGGTTGAATCATATCTAATATTTGATCTATGTTACAATTCACTGTGTACTTTTGAAGTTTGCATGTAATAAATAGACAAAGAAAAAGAATCTTCTACACTGGATTAGAGCATCATGTCGTCAGTAAGCATCAATCACTTTTAGCTGTGTATCTGAAAATGTGTGTCACAGCATAACATTGACACAGTTGAGTACAATGAATATGCATATCTGCAAACTAACTAACATCAAACTAGCAACACTTCGTGTTACTTCTTGGAGGGGCTTGCTATAATTGCATCAACCTGACTGAACAAACATTGAGTTGAGAATGATCAATATTTCATGCTTGACATTTATGCTTTATCATAACTACAGGTACCATAATTATTTCTTTTAAGTTCTTTGGTTGTTTACAAAATTAATAAAATATTATGAGTGTAGTTTTGAAGACATTTCATAGATGTGAAGCATGCACAAAAACATTATCCAATATTCAGATAGGCTAAATAATGCACCAATAAAATAGTATTTTAACACAGCACATTTTGATGGTCTTTTGATGATTTCCAAATATATGTTTTACATTTTTGTCTTACATTTGGTAACGCACAATTTAGTATGTTTATAATTTTAAAAAAGTAAGTACCAACCCCCCCTTCCCCCGACAAAAAAAGAAAGAATGAAAAGGGGTGTTGATAGTTTAATGATACTTTCACTGTACGTTCTAAAGTAGCATATTTTTTCATTGACAACACTGAAATAATCTTACTTTTGTAACTAACTTAAAATGTAATATCTTCAACTAGTATCATAAAGTTCCTATTAGCCTCCTCTCTAACACCCAGTTTATTTACTTTTTATCTGAGGCAGAGATTCATTATCAACCACTGAATTCAACTTGAAAGATCAATCAGAGAAGCTTTTTTGCAATAAAGCATCTTGTTTCTCTGTTTTTATCTTGAGAAGACTTATGATACCATATGGAAGTTTGGTAGTTTATGAAACATCCATTGTCATGGTTTACAGGCCCATTCACACACATTTCAAAACACTTATCAGTTAGATCATTCCAAGTCTTTGTGTGTGATTGGTACTATCCAAATCCTACTTATAAAAACTTGGAGTACCTCAAGGCCATTTCTTTGAGTGTTCCAGGAAACAACTTTCTTTAACAGTTGTCAACAACATCTATGTCAGTGGCTTTCAGAGTTTCTGGTATTCGTCAGATATGAGGCACTGCTATAAATCATCCTTAATAAACTAGGTGAGTGGACCACTATGAAAAGTTATAAATTTTTTTAACCTAAAACCATTTGTATGGTTGCCATCAAGAATTGTGCTCTGATCCCAAGGTTCATCTGGTGAGACCATGTTCTAAGGCCTTCTCTTTCACAGTGAGCTGTCTTTTATTCCACACATAAGGCAGCTTAAAGTCAAGTGTACATGGTCACTGACATTCCACATGTCTTTTCTCCCACCTCTTGGGGAAGAGCTATATGTTTCATGCTCCAAATTGCACAATGGATAATTGCTCTGTGCATCAGCCAGAGAACTGTATTGAAGATGTTGAACCTATATGCAACTTCAAGGGCTTTCTGACCTTCTGTAATCCAGAATTTGTTCACAGATTCCTCTGAACTTTCACTTCACATACATTTAACATTTTCAACTTTTTTGCATTGTGATGCATAGTTGTAATCTCTGATGCAACATCCCACCTGTTAGTGTGTTTTCATTTTTTGGTGGGCTGTCCATTCTTTTGGCCTTCATGTTCAAGCACAGTTGCATGAGATAGGCTTGACTTTGGATGCAGTTGCTGAATCCAAAGATATTTTTATCCCTTTTAACTTCTTACTAAACCTCATTGTGATCTCTCAGTAAGTAACCCGAAGAAGACGGATACTCATAACTGGAAGTATTGGCTTCTGTTTACAAATCTGAGTAAGAATACAGTAAGCTTTTGCAGATTTCACTTACCATCAATGAGTGGGTGTTTAGTTTCCACTGAGATCATCAAGTGTAAGTACTTCTAACAAGGCTTTGCATTGATTATAGGTTTTTTTAAGTGTTATTTTCCCTTTCAATGGAGCAACACATCAGTATGTGAGTAATGTGACATTCAAGTCATTATCGTCCACATCTTTCAATGCATTATTATGACATTAAGCAGAGTTACTTTTTGTATTTTGTGGTGCCTTTGTGCTAGTGAGTGGTGTCATAGAAAGTGATGAAAACGGCTGGATTGATGAGGTTTTTAATTATTTACAGGCTGTTTTTAATTTTATTTGATTTTCTAAGCTTGTTTAAAAAAACTTCTTTTGTAGTGTTGTAATTTAATTGTATACATTTACCTTCTACTTTTTCATTTTTATTGTTTACTGCAAATAGCCTTTGTTGTTCTGTGCCACTAAGCCTAGAAATGAGGACAAATAAAATATTGTTCTAGATAAAAACAAAACAGAATAGACTCGTGCAAATAGACAGTGACAAAACGAATTAGTACAAATGCATTAATGCATACCATATATAATTCATATTAAAAAATAATGTGGATAGCTGTTTCATTTGCTATTTTGATAATTCCTTAAGAAATATAGCAGAATAATTTCATACTGGAGTTTTTTCTTCTAAATTTGACAAGACATTTTATAGAATGCATTTGCATTTCTTAGTGAACACTGTAAGATGATGTTAATTTCTATATTTCATAGTCTTGAATTTGGCAAGTACAAGCTATCTGCTTTGTATTTGATATGGAATCCAACATATTTGTTAATAATGTGCAGCAGTGTTTTAATGTAATGTGTATATTGAATTATGGACACTGTTATAATGGAGGAACGTGATTACCATAAGAATGCATAGCAAGTGAAGTTATGTATCTAATTAAAAGATCAGATAGTTATAAATATCATTCAATCAAAAATATTTTATAAGTTCTTTTTACATCATTGTGTTACTTATGTTAATATGCTGTTTTACAAAGTTAAGCAATTTTTGTATAATATAAATATAATTTTACTGAAAAATTCCATTAGTTTTATGTAGTACATGAAATGTATTGATAGTTTATTTGTTATATTGTTTTAGAGGTTCCCAGGAAGCTACCAGACAGGCAAATCAGCTGATTGCATCCTTGATCAAAGAAGCTAATTGTGAACTTCCTGAAATCATAGCAAATGCTGGCTTATCCAGATCTGCAAGCACTTCTGCTGTATCCCTTGGGAGTGAAGGAATGAAGGTGAGTTTGAAGTTATTTTACTGTTGACTTGCAGGTCTCACAAGCCTTGTAATCTCTGTTTTAAAGTTACTTTACTGCTGATTTTCAGCTCTCACAAGCCTTGTAATGTTTTTGTTTTTTTAATTTCTTACAAAACTTCTAGCTAAACTGCACAAAACAAAGGATAATTGGAATTTGCATGATGACACAGCAACACTGCTGTTCTAAAATATAACAAGTCATCTCCCTTCAGTTCTTTGATATGCAAGTCAGGCATTTGATTATCAGTCATATTGTCTAAAATACAAGAGATTGGTCACTTAGCCTACATTGCAGTGGTCTCATGCAGTTTATTTCAGTTTTCACTTTGAAGTGAATCAGAGTTCAAAGTACTATAAGTTATCTATGAACCATGGCTAGACCTCAAAGAAGACAAATAAATGTGGAAAGATATTGGATGAACGAAAACCAGTCAATCATAGCAAGCTGTTGAAAATTATGTGTCTCATGGTGCTTTTACAATGAAGAACTGCTTTTATACCTGTGATCCAGTAGTTCAGATACCTCAACAAAGACAGATCATTATCCAAAACATAAACAAATCCTGCTATCTGTCTACTATGTCTTACAGTAAGTCTTAAGAAGTTTTCTCCGAGACTGAACCAGATATTCACAGCTGCAGTTGGATGTTGTCAGTGTACAGATGGTTAAAAAAAACGTCATAAAGCCAACCTATTTGCTAGATGGCCAATAAGGTGCAGTTTTATTACAGAAAGGCACAAAATAGCTTGCCTTAGTCAATACCAAGAATGCATTCACTGGACCAATGACATGTGGTGCAATATTATTTTCTACAGGTGAGTTGTGCTTCACCTTGTAGCTGGATAATAGATGGATTCTCATTTGGAGAGAATCTGAAATAAGCACTGGGAGGGTTTAATGATCTCTGCATCCTGCAGACCATCACAGAGTCAGTTCTTTTCTGTTTGTGAAAACATTTTATTTTGCTCATAGGCATATAATAAACCAGCTCAGCTGAAATGATCAAAAATATTGATTTTAATTGTTATAGTTGCAGTGAAGATCCAATTAAGTGACAACACTGATCATTTTAGATTAAAGCTGCCATGCTAAAAGATTCAGTTCAAACTGATTCCACAGAAAGAGGACAGTAAGCTTTGGAAAGCCTTCCATTTGTCATGGTGCTTCCTCCTTGAATTTATGTCAAGTTACACAAACCTTCTGAATTTTTCTCATTGTTTTAATTGAGTATTGTTGCATCATAATATCTAGTAGTGTGTGGAATTTCTAGTTTGATGTCAGGTTTATATACACACAAACACACACACACACACACACACACACCTATGTATCAAGATAGAGTTAGATAGATAGATAGATAGATAAACCTAGACTGTGTGAATGCGAGTTTAGCCGTAAAGAGCCTTCATTGGCACTTTTTTTTAAAGTGAAATTACTGCAGATTGTATTGTAACAGAATAGAGAAGAATAATTTGACTTGTCATTTGTGTTCTAAAGTAAATGAATAAACCTATGTGGACTTCTAACGAAAATTTACAATTATTTAAAGCTCTGGATATAACTGTGGTAAACAACAGTGTAACGTCAGCAAAATTATCATCGATTGTATTGTAATAACAGAGCAGAGAAGAATAATTCATTTTGTCAATTGTGTTTTATAGTAACTGAACCAACCTGTGTGGACTTTGACTAAAAGAGACAATTAGTTAAAGCTCTGTATAGAACAGTGAGGTAAACATTTGTATATACGTTTGACTTGTTTTAATATATTATTTTAAAACAAGTGGACTGTTTGCTGTTTGTTTATTGTTGAAATTTATTGCCAACAAGTCACAGACACCTACAGTAAAGGATTTGGCTCATACATATGTAAAAACCTGACACTGCCAAATGGCGGAGGAATGTTTAGCAACCATGATGATCTTCTAATAGCTGATTTACAACTTTTAGGAATATGGTTGCCTTGAAATAAACAGTGCAAACTCAGCATGTAATAGTACTGTAGATGTTTATCAGTTGTTGTTTGGTGTAGAATAATTTAGTATTTTGGTTATGGGAGATTCATGTATTAACAACTGTTACTTTGCACTGAAGCACACTATGTGGCTGAGTGCTAGAATTCTCTGGGTTCTCCTACTACTAATTATTTTATTCTTGCTTGAAATAAATATGTTTGAATTGAGATCCTTTATTATTTCTCATGGCACAGGCCATGCAATCAGCTATTGTTTGTATACATACCAGTTTGCAGATAACTTTGTGATCCTGTTGGCTACTATGACTCTGATACTTTAATTTTAGTTGGACTAAGTTAGCAATGTTACACCCACTGTAATACAGTCTTTTCAAACTATGTTGCTGTTGTATATAGACATCAAATATTTGTAACTGAGAAACTAAGTCAGTGTTTTAAAGTTTAAGTGACAAAATTGGATATTAATTATTATCATATTTAGACTAACAAGAAACGTTTTAGCAAATTTGATCTTGACATAAGTTGCCATTGCTTGATATGAAGCTGCAAGAGCTGCCATATTGATTGGAGGTCATTTTAGTTCAGTGGCATGCATGCTGTGAACATGTTTCAGTTTAGCCAGCAAAACTGTTATGTTTATTGAAACAGTACAATTCAGTCAATACAAATTAACTTTTATTGTCCAATTATGTAAACAAAGAATAAGGATAGAGCATTAGCCCACTAACAGCTCCAGTGGACTGTTTGGTGGGGGCTATTTACAGCTCTTGTGCATTTTTTAGAAATGAAAGACTGCTTTATACAGTTTGATGAAAGGAGCTAACTCTTCTGCTCTCATATCCTTTGTATCTTTCAAAGACTGCATTGCCTAGTACATTAATATTGTAGGTATTCTAACTTCTAGATGATATAGTTTTAGAAATGTTAGGGTTGAAGGCCTGCACACCAGGATATTTGCACAAATATTGGTTATACTGCTCTTTCCATTTCATTAGCTAACTAATTGAGCTCTATTTGTGCATCTTGTGATCATTGGCATGTCACTGCTTTGACAAAGACTTTCATAATTGCTGTACATGTAATTAAGTTTTAGCTCAGCTTTTTGAGACTTCATGAGTTGTACAACTTAGCTAAATCTATGAATGTTGTGATAATGTGTTTGGTATGAGGGTCTCACATAACAACTGTTGAAAAATTGAAAAGTTCTTCTGTGCCAGTAGTTCTTTGGTTTTCATTGTTGCTCTGTTACTGTTAACATCTGCAATTCTGGACAGAAACTGCCATGTAGCAGAAAGACAGTTGTGCTGCTACTCTACATTCCCAATAATTGCCACCGAGTTTTCATAATTGTTGAGGGTGTTAAACATTGTTGCATATATCTGCTTGTACATTAATTCATTTATTGCTTATAAAGGCAGGCAAAAACAATGCAATAAAAAGTATTATACTTCAGGTACAGCCTTTCAAGGCATCATCTACAACTAATGCAAGTCTGTGCATACAGCATTACTCATAGTGATTGAAGCCATCTGCTTGATACATTGTTAAAAACCATGATATTATTCACTCGTGGCTGAAGCTTCATTACAAGCCTCTTTCAATAAGCAAGAATTCATCTAATTAATTGTTCTATTTGGTTAAATGAGAAAACAATGGCACTTGTTTAGTTGCTGATAAAAACCTGCTTCTGTGAAGAATCCTCTTTTCCAGTGTTTGTATGTAGCTGTGTGTAGGAAGTGTCTGTTGTTTCCCCAATAGTAGAAAAATGTCAACGGGCAAAGCGATAAACAGCATCAATGGCTTAAAATATTCCATACATGGGTGTAGTAAGGAAGACTATCTGAAATGATTGGAACTTGCCTTGCTCATTCTGTGTATTCAGCTTTAAATTAGAACAAGAATAACTAGTGTCTGAATTTGCTAAAATCATATACTTGGAAATAAGGAAACAATTCATAACATGTTATACCATAAGCTAGTGATCTGTTTTTGTATTGTTTTTTTTTATCTTGTAGAAATTGGAGGAACTGATGTATATATGTACATACTATAAGCAAGACATTAAGAAGAAAAGTACAAGTTATTTGTAAACAGTGACTTTTTATTGTTTCTAGATTGTATTTCAACTTAAAATGTATGCATGTATTTTTAAGTCTTATTTAACTGTGTTTGTACTGCAACTCTAGCTTTCAAGAAGTTGAATGAAAAATTAGAATGCCTTAGCTGGTGGATAGCAGAACATAGAAGTAATGTAAATATGATATCTCAATAAGACTTATAATAATTTAAGTCTTCTGCAGGATTAGAATACATTGTTAGAAGAAGGAGCATTTTCATAATACTGTGTTTTTTCCTGAAAAACTCATTGTACAACATTTAACTGTCAGTTGGCTTTGAATTTCAGAAGGATAATGAAACAAGATGTTTTGAAGGAAAATAAATGAGCTGGTGATATGAAAGTTATGAAATGACTAGCCCAATATCTTGATGCTAGACTATATAAAATTTTGTGGGAACAGTTGTAAAACAATATTACAAAAATGAAACTCTTATAACTTTGGAAGACTACAGCAAAAGCTGATAATCTCAAAAACTTTATAGCATCCTGGCCCAATTGATGTCACCTTATATTTAATACTGAAGGGAGAACTTAATTCAGTACTATTTTTATTGTTCAAGTTTTCATGATTTTTATAGGTCATTTGAACCAAAACATTAAAATATATTATATACAATATATAAGTTGGTAATTCCCTGCATTTTCTGCTTTATTTCATTTAAACATGGTATTGTTGATTTTACTAACAAGCATGTGGATCAGTAATGGGTACAATGTTTGTATGGGAAACTTTAACTATCATTTCAGTCCTAAAATTCTTGTAAATGTTGTTAATGTCATGTACACTAGAAAAAAGTTGAAGATGCTACATATGCATGTACTATACCAAAGTTCAGCTCTTCACAAAAACCTTATAATAAACCAGCTCTTGAAAAGCCCATCTGGATGAGGACCCACTTGGCATGTATTGGTGTGAGAAGTGATATTTTAAAGCCAACATATACATTGTTTGAAGTTTCACCAATTACATTATTTTTTTTTATCTGGGGAATTACCTATGTTGAGTACCAATAACAAAAGTTTGACTTTAGATCTTTTTTTTCTTTACTGTTGGTTTACAGCAAAGTCTACAAGCTTCTGTTTATCAGTACATGCTGCTGGTATGAATAGAGAAATGAAGTTGTTGTCTTTCAAGCAGATTGAAAGTTTTAACCATTATGAGCTTTGTACATGTTGAAAAGGACTACTGTTTTCTGTTTTTTTGTTTTGTTTTTTTTACAATTGGAAGATGTTTAAATTTCTTTCTAAATTTATGGCACAGTGTCTTTGTTACTCCAGTCGGTTTCTGTGAAGGTTGGGTTCCACTTTGGAAGATAGTGATCATTTTACTTGTGTACATGAGCTGTTCTGTCACAAGTTGTCCTAACTTTGTGATAGTAAGTAACAGTGTAATATGATATTTGTCATTAAGGATGATAGGGAAATCTGTTGCAAACCTTTCTGTCTTCCATGGTCCATTTGCTGCTGGAACTAGTTGATAACAAACAAGTCTGATATATTTTTTCTCTCAATTTTATTAACTCCTTGCTGATCTGTTCAAAGGCTGATGGAATATGTTCCATGCCTTTGGTGTCTTTACTTTTGGTGAAACCCGTTATTTGGAGTATGGATATGGCAGATGTCTTGTTGATGGCAATATGACCCCCATAGCGCTCTTAACTTTTGGGTCATGAATTTCAGACCTATGGGTAGTTCTTTGTATGTTTGGTATTTTTATTTTTATGTGTCATTGTTTTGTTAATGGGAAAGGATAACTGATACAAAAAAACAGTTACTTTGAATTTTAATAAAGATAATAAAAAATTAATGATACTTACAGATAATTTTGGATTTTACGGTCTTATGGCAAGGTCTTAAGTTGTGAAGGTTGTATGAAAACTCAAGTTTTGGATTGGTGAGACTAAGTTTAAGACCTTTGACAAGGATCCATTTACTGAAATTAAAAACAAACTTATGAGAATCAAATCCCGGTGAAGTGGGTGATTCATTTTATAATTTTTAATTTTAACTTTGAAGTAAACAGACAAAGTTAAAATATATCCAAGAAATAGCATTTTGTAGATCTTGACTTGTTTTTTCTTGGTTAGGCCTTAGACATCAATGCTGATTTTGTTTGAATTTCAGTTCTTCTTCTAGAAACCAGCATTACAAGTCAAAGTAGGAAGAAGTATCATGAAATCTGTGTTTGGTAGATTAAGATTGGATTTCTTCTTAAGATGGTATCTCAGTCTTTGACTCTCTTGGCAGTTCAGGGGTAATTTTGTGCCATCATCACTAGGGAAGGCTGTGATAAAATTATATATATTCTTCAAAGTCTTCTTAGGCTGTCAGAAAGGAAATGCTTCTCTGCTTCTTCAAAGTCCCACACCCTTTCACTTCCATTTAATTATGAATTTCTTCTTTGTTGTTTAGATTCACCTTTTCCTTTGTTACATGCAAAAAAATCCCTGGCTTATTTTTTCATGTGATATCTGTGACAAAAATTGATGCCATTTGTATTTTAAAGTTTAAACTGTTTCAATTTACCAGAAAGATTAACATTAATCATACATGTTTGAGTGTTCCTTTTACCAGTGTCTTAAGATTTTGAATTATTTTTGAGTGTATATATTTTGTTTCCATTACTAAACAGGTAATGACAGGAATTACCACAGCATTGTCCACACTTAGTAAGTTAGGGATGTCACATCAACTGGGAACTTTAAAGTCATCTAGTAGTACTTCACTGAACATCAGTCAAGCCTCGGCCATCCCTCCTCCAAGTCTGCCAGTATCTGTTGCTGCTCCATTTTCTAATCAGCCAAGACTTCCAGGAAGCCCTACCTTTATAGTTCGCCCACCCATATCTGTAAGTGGTACTGTGAGAGCACCACCTTTTCCAACTAATTATCAAAATGCCTGGGTTGGAGCTAACTCTTTAGGGAAGAATCTTGCTGTCACATCTTCACATCTCAATTCCTCAGGGGTTCCATTATCCATACAACCAGACACTCTTCAAGCCATAGTGAATACTACCACAAGTAAATGCCCTGCTGTCCGATTGCTGTTTCCCAAAGAACGAAATATGATAGGGAGCCAAAATAGTACCACCATCAATACCAAAGCTACAGTTTCTTATACAATAGCTGAAATCTCACAGAGAAAGTCTTCTAAGACTCTTCCAGTCTATAACAACACTGTATCTATCAGGCCTACTTTGGCTGCAGCTGACACGAAATTGACTCTTACTGCATTGAGCCAGCTAGGAAATTTGACAGCAACTGCTTCAAATAGCATTCAGAGTTCCACAGAGTTCTCACCAACTCAGTCCTTGATTCAACCCTTTCCCGTGTCTGAATCATCAAGCCACATAAGAACACAAAATAATAAGATGGTTATTCAAATTACACAAACATCAGTGGTTCAGCACCAGACAAAAATTACCAGTGGTCAACCAGTAATGCAACAGGCTCTTATAACAAATGGTGTAAGAGCAACTGAAGAATTACCAGTCTCTCAGTACACACCTTTTCATAATCATTTTAGCAAAGTGGTTGAACATAGTGTATGGGGACAAAAGGAGACCAAACCCAACTTTGCTAGTGTTGCTGCTGCAGGGATTACTTCAGTAGCAATGAACGCCCAAAACTCAAATCCTGTCCAAACTTCCCTCTCTTTGTCTCTTCCGCAGACCACTGACTACAAGGTTGATGCAGCTAAAGCTCCTGGTTATCGTGGCAACCTTCATGTTTCCCCCTGTGGATTAAGTAATTCATTTAGTGTGGGTGGAATCAGTCAACCAGTTTCTGTTAATACCAACTACAGACTCATAGGAAGTGGGCCTCGAAGTGCTCCTTGCACACCACCTTTGGGTCCTATAGGAACTCCATCTAGTTCAATTCCTTTGAAGCATGGTGGCATTTCTGTCATTGCCAGTCTTGGTGAGTCAAGATCATCTCCTGATTCCCACCACTTTCCAGACAATGAAATGGTTAGCAGTATGGATGGAAGTTGTACAGTTTCATCCTATGCCTCTGTCTCTCGGGTACTAAGTGCTTCTCAAGTGACAGCAGAAGCCTTGTATCAGTCTCAAGCCATGCAAGGCCTTAATATGAATCTACCTATGAACAACCATTTTGCAAGGATTCATGACTTTTCACCAGCCTCAGGAGTTCATTTTCCTGGTCCATCACTTGGTACTCGTACAGATACCACTTTCAGCCAGCATACACCCTTATCATCTGTAGGATCTGTGGCTTCTGACAGCACTTCTGACTGTAGTACAACTAATAGTACTAACTCTCATGTTTTTCAAAGCAATTTAAATCCTAATGCTCCAGACTTTTCTAGTCGTACCTCTTTACTGGTAGCCCATCAAAACTCTCATGGGCCATCTGTTGCTTCTCGCATGACCAATGTACATGCACCTTACCATGAAAGTACCCAGACAACCCAAAACCCTGGTAATATGATACATGTGATAGCTGGTGGGGCAAATGTCAATCACCAGCTACCATTTCACAATGGATTCTTTGCTCCAAATGGAAAACGCTACCCATTTCCACTCTCCCATGTGCAACAGAACCTAACAGAGTATAATCCTCATCCTCCTCCTGGTCCAGTTGGGTCAATCCCACCCAGTATGGCTGGTCCAGGGTTCAATGCAGAAGCATTAAAACTCATAACAACAATGGGAGGATTTCCAACACCACCACATCCAGCCCAAGCAATGCAACATCCCATGGGTGTTTTACCACATCACTTTACTAACATGGCTCAAGTTATGGAACTAAGACAGAACCAGATATCTACTTATACAACTCCATCGATTGGGACCTCTGCCAAAGGTGATTCTTCTTTCTTTCTTTTTTTGTTTTTGTTTATGTTGTTGATATCATTATAATTATTATTTTAGGATGATTTAATATGTCTCAGACACTGAGATACTGAATACAGGGATGAATCTTTTCTTTTTTATATAACCATTTTTCAGTTCATTTTCTCATCTCATTTTTTGACTTTTCTATTACCAAGATATCAGGTAGATATAGGTAACAAACATAGGATTTATGTATTCTTCTCTGATTTTTTATATAATATATGGGTGTAATCTGTGGAAAGAATTACCTTATGATTAATTTTCAGTTATTATATAGAGTTGGACCAAAATATACCCATGTTAGTAAAAGATATTACCTAATTCAAAGACTGTAAATATTTATTGTACTTATATTGGTAATCAAAGGGTTAGGTGTTTTATTTTTCATAGATTTTTCATTATAAATATATTGAAGTGTATTTTATTTCATTGTGAAATACCTCTAACTTTACTAGTCCATAGAATTGGTACTGAAAGAACTGAAAATTGTTTTTTAACTTGTTTTTTCCTGGATACCACCATTATAAGGTTTATTTTTGTTTATTTTTCATCTGATCCCTGTTGTGTGATAATAATGAAAGTCTTCTGGATATATCTGGAAATCCGGATATTTCTAAAAAGTCCTGGAAACCTCCGGTTTTCTTCCGGAGAAACACATTTTTTAAAATTATTTATTGGATTTTGGTGTTCCATGCCATAGATAAGCGTTTATGCAATCGCACGGATTGTTTACATTCGGCGAATGAGTTTGATTTTACAATAAATATATGTCTGATTTATTTTTAGCAATGTTTTAATAATGAATCTATTCAATTTCATAATTGTGTGAACTGTTTAGTCTCAGTTGAATCATACACATTTCACAAATACATATGCAGTACTGAGTGTAAGTTATAAAAGCATTACTTTATATAAGTTTTGACATCCAATTGTGAAAATTATGAATTCCAAAGAATGCACTCTTGAAAATTATCCATTAACTAGGGGAATCAGATTTGATATTTCTCACATGTATTTTATAATGTAAGAAAAATGAGGTAACTTGTTTAAGTGAATTTTAAGTACCAAAATGCAGGATTTTGGGTGCCGGACCCCCCTTACTTGGCTTCAATTATTTTCAGGCTTTTTAGGAAAGGGACACTTTCATCTCTGGTGTGAACAGTGATTGATTCACTAAGAAAAACAGTTATGAAATATCATTATATCATGTACATTATGTTTAGAAATTTTTGATAAATCTCTCACTGAATAACATTTAAACAATATTCCAGGTGTGTGTCCTTTTTTGTTTAACAGATTTGTGGGAAAAGACACCCATGCTTGTCCAACTTTGAAAGTCGGATTAATTAAGCTTCACATGTTTTTCACCAATTATATGCTTAATGAGTGTAAAGAAACTTTCAGATTAAAGGTCAACTGTGCCATTTTCAAGTTATTGCATAGTTAACATTATTTGTGGAAGTACAAAAAAATGAACCAAAATATTATTTTGGTTAAAAGTGCACTATGGGTTTAAGGAATGGATACAAGACATTTGTAAGAAAATATGAACAGTGTAGAAACCCCAGGGCTATTAACATGCATGCTCCCAGCTGCTTAGGAGTCACATCAAATTAAGAGATTAATTTGGCTTACATAATTGACATATTGAACTTTGAAGGTACGAGTCCTCAGTATGATGTAAAATTATATGTTCTTACAAAAATGAAAATCAAAGCTTTTTTGATTGGTGTAGCTGATAAATCTCACAAACTTTCAGCTGAGCATATGCTCAAGCAGTTTGAGGTAAACCACCGAAATGAGTACAAATTTCCATTATTTCCTAAGATAAAGAGTGACATGACCCAACTGTTTTCTAAGCAGAGAAATAAACAGTAAACAACTTTGGCCAGTTGGCACAATAGCATAGCAAGGTGACAACGTTATGAACAATACATTGTTAGTTGGATAAGTTTTTGCAATTGAAACTGGGACCAGTAACATGTCAATAAAATTGCAGGCTCGCACTGATAGCACAATACTGCTAAATGAAGCATATGCTAGTAATAACACAGCCAATTTGTCAACAAGAAGGGTTAGAGTTGTGGTTGTGATATACAAGGATGTTTTATCTGACCATGTCATAGAGCTGTCAGGAATCTTTGGCATTTCACAGATATTTGGTTGAAGCACACCCACCTAACAATGATGAACCATTCATAACAAACCAATAAATATGATCACAGTGTACATAAGCAAACTAATAAACTTCATATTCGATGACGAGGAACCCACTTTGAGACTAATAATGGCTGGAGACGGCTTGAATGGGTAATGAAGAAAAACTTTAATATAACAGCAAATGTACAACGTTTCGACAAGGAGTACCTGATGATGACAAAACCTTGTCAAAACGTTGTACATTTGCTGTTATATTAAAGTTTTTCTTCATTACCCATTCAAGCCGTCTCCAGCCATTATTAATAAACTTCATATTTTAGATTTATTGTCAATACGATTTATCTATTATGAGACACAAGCAGCATTTTCGCACTACACAGTTCATTTGTTTTTCTTATATTACCATAAATATGCATGTTTTAAATTCAAAATGTGTAATGCCATGTTGCACTACACTTATTTTTTCTAATCTATATTATTTCCCAATCTAGCACCCTCTGGTCATGCATGTTGCCCTAAACAACTGATGACCATTTGGGTGCAGGCACCATGTTTGGAGGGCAATATATCTTTAACCAAAAAGCATGTAAAAATTCTTCTTAATGAAGTTTTCATACTGATACTGATTTACAATAAACATAAATGTCAGACTCAAATAAAATAGCACAATGAATTAGTTTTAAGAAGTTGGTCAAAATATGAAAACACCATTTCTTATGAATTGGTTGTTAAATTATATTTTACTATATATATAGTTAAACACTTGAATTTTCATGAAAACTGCTTGATTTTCCTACTCAGTATTGTAACTTATTGCAGTTTATATGTTCAGGGAAATGATTACCTCAGTTTGTAATAAGCTGGAACTTTACATAGTGACTCCTTTATATTTGGAACACCATTCTTTGTGTCATTTTGCCTGTTTTACCCTCTTTGCTTGATTTTTCTTTTTCAGGCAGGCAGATTTTACCTTACCTCAGTTGGAGGATTCCAAAAGTTTTTTTTCTATTCTTTCTTTCATCAACATATCTTACTGCTAAGATCTGACAGTTTTCTAATTTAACCAAGGACAGATTTTACATATTTTTTTAATTTCTTTCTGGAGCATTGTTGCAGAACCGGAGAGTTATGTTTTTGCTAGTTTCTTTACACCATGTCTTTTTTTAAAAAGTTATGTGCAGCTCATTTTTATGGAACATGTTTTTGTTAATGTTCTTAATGTGGTGGAAACCAAGACCTATCATAATTTTGAGTTTAGTTCAGTTCTCATTCATACTGGATATTCTTAGAACTCCTGTATAAAAATTGATCTTCCTCTGAATTTTTATTTGAATTTCAATAAGAAATTGTCATTTTATTATTCTCCAAGCAATCTTCCAGACATATTTTTTTTAGGTGAAAATGGGATTCTGTGGTTCTTTTTACATAACGTGGAGAGGAGGTTGATCAGATTTATCGATCTTTAGAGGATGGTGATGTATGATTTGTAGTTCTTAAAGGCTTTTGAACAAGACCTGGACCTATTTTAGGATTTTATACCTTGTCTATCATCTTTTCTTTTGTTCTCTCTACTTATAGACAAGTTCATTTAGAACTCCTTTATCAGGAAGTTTTTTTTTTACTCAAGTGGTTACTTATGAAGCTGGTAGACCAGATCCATGTTTTTCTTCTCCTCTCTGTATGGTTTCTAAGAATGCTTAGGATTAGGAACTAGTTGTGGATCACTGTCATCTAAATTTATTATAACTGTTCCACATGGAATACTGTGTGTATGATGGAGTTAGATATTACAGATGCTTATTTCATATTTCTGGTCATATGCTCCATATTATTATTATTATTGCTGCTAAAAAAATATATTAAAAAAAAGTGGAAGTATGAGTTGTATTAAGGTTGGAAGAGTGACTTTAAAGCTATATGTTATTGATATCTTAAACTACTAATTTTATTGTTCAACAGAAACAATTTTAAACACTTATTTTTCATCTTGTAAATTAAAGATGTTATTTTTTTCGGTGATTTCATATTAGAATTCCATGATTTTTTGTGTCACAGCCATAATCAGAATGAGATATGAGCACTTTACTGTTTAGAAGAGTGAAGTATTTTCTAAAGATGCCCTAACCCATCTGGTTTTTTCTTGCTTGTTCCAATCTTTTATACCCCACTAAATTGCACTTGACGATATTTGTCTCGTGACACTCTCCACCTATATCAATGTGCCCCCTATCCTGGTACTGTATATAAGCACCTCATTCTTGACAAAGTATCACTAACAGGTTTCCCAGTCCTACAATCATTTGTAAGTACTTGAAACATTTTCCATGTTACCAGGGGAAAAAAAAAATAAAAAAAAATTGGCAAACTGATTTACGGTATGAATTTCCAGATTATTATTACCAGCACGGAGACAAATCAGGTCTTTCCTATCCACAACAATCCGGGGGTGGGGGTCACTCTTGGTTGAAACTGTCAGTGATCTTATTCGTAGTGAGTTGGAGACATATATTTGGCTGTGTGGTGTTCCTCCAGGGGGCTCTGAGGCTGTAATTGGGGTGATCCTAGATATTCTGGAGAGAATTTAGATTTGCTTTTTCCTGCATCTACTTTTAGTCTGTTGGCTTTTCAGTATCCCTGTGGGACAGTGACGAGTTTGTGGACTTGCAACACTGAAATCCGGGGGTTTGATTTCCTATATAGACACAACAGATAGCCCAACGTTGCTTGCTCTAACAAAACAAACTTACCTGTCTGAATGTGGGTCCAATCAACGATAATCAACACAGTATTTTAAATGACATAAAAAAAAAGTAGGTCGCTTTGGGATAATCTGCCTTTGATTTGTTTTCTTCTGTTGGTTCATCTAGATTGTGATGTTTTTGGTCTTTCCTCGCTTGGTTTTGAGCCTGCACCTTACTTGACAGCTGAAAGGCCCGGGAGCAAATTTTTAGTTTTCTCTCCATTCACGGACATTGTGGTTCATGCTGGGAGGTTCTCTTCTCAGTTACATAAAGGAACAGTTATGCCTTATCCGACATGGTTGTGGTAACTTTGTGATTTAGCCTACCACCGCTAGGTGGAAGCATTTTCTGAGTCTCAAATAATCCATCTGCTCATTGAATTTCGGGTTTCTTAGGTGGAGCTTGTAGTTAACTTGAATGGAACAATGTCCCCTGATGGGATAGGGAAAGTCTATAGACTTACAACTCTAAAATTCAACATTTTGTTTTTCTTTCACTTTGCTTTGTTGGAAGACTCAGGATCACCAAGTTCTTTGATGACGAGTTGAAACCATTGTTAGCATGCACATTGGTGTAATTGTCAGCTTCTACATTCATCCTTGTCATTCTGTCTATATCCAAGGGTTCTGCTGCTCAGTTGGATCATCGCCAGCAGCGTCAGTGATTATTGTATGCCTTCTGGGTTTGTGGGGGTTCAGATCTGAGATTTTCTAGATGTGTGGTAACCTTAGCCATGGATCCAGGAGTAATACATGTCCTTGAATCAGGATTAGTCATTCAGTTCACATCTTCACCACTATTATCTATCCTGCAGATCCTCTGGATATGGAACCTAGTTCTAGGACTATCAGAGTTTGGTTGGGCTGGGGGTAGTGAGAGAGTTGTGCTAGTTCTTCTGAGGTTTTATTCCTGAAAAGACAGGAGATTAATGTCTGGTCATCAATCTTTCTCATCTTTATTATTTTCTCCCACCACTATTGGCATGTTTTGTGTGCAAGGGTTAATTACTGCAGTTCTGGGTTTTTACCTCTGTACTTGCATCGGCTTCATATGGGTTTTTTCTTGTCACCTCCATTCCATTGCACTGGCACACACCATTCAATAGATGGCTGGTTACTGCTGGCACCATCTCATTGAATGTCAGAACATCACATCCTGATTTTACTCTCAGAAACAACCAAGACAGGCTTCATTCTCAGGGTTGAGACATCCATTCTTGCTCCAATTCAATATGTCATTAGTCTGGGTATTTTTATTTTTAATTTTGTCTTTCTATCAGGTTCAGTTAACTCCCATCCAGCTCCACGCAATGGAACAGGATGCCCGACTCATACTCACTTCTCCTTCTCCCATTTCGCAGACAGTTCTTTCTCTTCTGAGAATGTGGGAATCACCTGAATCCCACATACCTTTCAGATGACAGCAAAATAGATTCTTTTAATGGTCTTTATGTGACAAAGGGATCATAAACATCAATTCACTGGATTTCCCCAAGTTTCCTTAGTCAGGATCATTCTTCGATCTTGAGGTATTGTTAAGTCGGGACACTACTAAGATACGAGTTCCTCTACTGCTACCTCGTCCAGAGTTCCATCTCTTCCTTGCTTTATGGATGGGGTGCACATACCATCAGTCAGGAATTCCAGAGTCAATGCACTGACAATGAGGATTCCCTACACAGTGTTTTAATCCTTTTTGCTCTTCAATATGAACTATCATGAGTAAAGCATAAAAGGATCCTGCCCATCCCTGCCGATCATTGGATTGAATAAGTATGGGTCAGTTTGCTTTTAAAATTTAGGAAACTTGTTTCACCTTTTGCACTGTTTCCAGTGCACTGTTTCTCAGGGCTCCTCAATGAGCATTACCCTCCAGATTCTACTAGTGGAGCTAGGGAGTCCTTATCACACCCGGTTTCCAGTCACCCGGGTGGTGGACAGAGGCTTTTCCTCTAGAGTGTTAGAGTAAATTCTTCCACTTTTGGAGAAGGGGGTGAAGTTTGGGGCTCTCTTATCCAGGTCCCTGGAAGTTTTTTCCTAGATGTTGGTAAGAGAGGCACCAGCCTACGTTGGATCTTACTTGTAATACCAGTTCCGATTTTACACTTGGCTATCCGGTTGGGTTGAGTGTGGCCCTTCTTTTTTATCAATAATGGTTCAGTACATTATTCATGGAAGAGGGTCCACTGTCTCCTTGTAATTCTGGGTCCTGAGCACAGTTTGTTCCATGTCCTCCCCATAATTCTGGGTCAAGTGTAATTTACCTTTCCCACACTGTTGTGGAGTGAGGATGAATGTTCATAATTCCAGACTTGATGAATTCTGTTTCTTCAGGTTGAGTAAGGCATACACGATCCCGTCATTCCAAGCCTGGGGTGTTGCCTTTTGGACTTCTTCAGGATGAGGAGAAGGTTTGTCCGTTTCAGTGTTGCTTACCTTCTCATTGTGATTTTGGTGGCTTGGAATGCATCATTCTATGGCTACATTGTGTCAGATAGCCTTAGTAGCTTTGCTATAGCAAAGACAAGGTGAGCAAGTTTAGTGGCAATGGGAACCAAATAAAGACCTTCAAATTATGAGCCCCACCCCGTCCTAAATCAACCAAAGCTCAACAACCTTGAAGTTAAAAAAAAACCTAGAAGGCTAAATAGGGCAGAGCACAGATAACCCATTATGTAGCTTTGTGCTTAATAGTAAAAACACATAATAGCAGTATTTCGATTATTTAGATAGTTGGTGTAATCAAAGGTTCTAACAATTGGAAGCTCTGATTTTGATTAGTTTATTATTTTCATGAAAATCAATTTATTTGTAATTTTGTTGGAATAATTGACAATGATAATAATGGGAAACATTTCAATTGAGTTAATCATATTTTGATTAATCCATTAGTTTATGTGACACTAATAATATAATTGCTGCTCATAGGTAATTGATTAAATCACTTGGCTATATCTTAAAATCTGTCTAATATGGCTTTTAGCTTTGTTGAACCAAATTTTGTTTGTTAGTGACTCAAGATAGTCTATGTGGTTCAGACGATTGTGAAGCCGTGTTCAAAAGAGAATTTTTCAACTACCTCTCTCTCTCTCTCCTCCTTTTTTCTTTTTAAATTAAAATCAAGAGAAATGGAGGGAGCAGTGTAAGATTTAAAGCAAGTATGTGAGAGATGTTCTGAAATCAGTTTAGCTGTAATTTTTTGTTTTTTATGTTTAGAATAAATGATTGTCTTAACAACAACCTGGTAATGAAATTATTTTCACTAGTAATGCCATACCAATTTTGAATAAGTGTATGCCATTTATTTACTAGGAGAAAATTAACTTTTCAAAATTATTGATAGGATATGGCAAGCAAAATAATAATTAATAGTCTGTTAATTGTATGTAGCTTTGGAAATTGTACTTCTGAAAAGTGGTTTTTAATAGAAATTAGAGAAATTAAACAGTTGTATTATTTTTTCATTTATATTATTATTATTATTACTAATACTAAATGTTTACAATTCAAGATATTTTGAGGCTTCAAGGCCCTAGATTTTTTAGGGCTATGTCCAGCTTTTTACAAAGTTTCTAGAGAGAGAATCATACAGTTAATTGAAATTAAATTTTCTTTTAAAAATAGAAAAAATTGCTTCAGTAGTACCTTCTCTGTATATTAAAAAAATAATTCTTAAATTTTGAAAAACTAATTTATTCTGTGTGCATTTACATGTATACATTTATCTGTAACAAAATCATGATATTTATATTTCTGATATCCATAAATACATTAATAAGTTACATATCTTCAAGTAACTTTTTTATGATAAGATTTGAGAATTACATCATTGAAGCTATTTATTTCAATCATTCAAGCAACCAAGTGAAATTGAAAAGTTGTCTTAAGACTGGCTCCACCTAATTAACTTGTGTTCAATAGTAGAATTACTTCCTACCATCACTTCTTAAACATCAAACTACTTGTACTAAATAGGATGAGTTAAAAAAAGTGATTAATCCAAAGGAATTTTGGGAGTTTCTTACTGCCACTTAATAACCATTAACCTTGAAAATAAGTTGAACTTGGGGATAAACCATACCAATTATTTTAAAAGTATTTTTAGCAGATTATTATGGAAGGTATTTTACATTATAAAATAAAATAAAAGTTCTGATGAGGATCCATGAAACTGAATAGGAATTGTTCAGTAGGGAAGGATGAGTTTTACTTAGCAGTTTAGTTTTGTTATATTTAGTAAGCTGACGTAATGGAAATAGATTTTTTCCACTATTATGAGAAGCACATCTTTAAGACAGAATGTAATAACTTAAATACACTGATCTTTAAGACATAATATTGATAAATAAAATATATTCTGTTTATAGATGGAGGCTCACCAGTGGTTGCTGCTTCTCCCTCGGGTTCACCTCAAGGCAGCAATCTTGGATCTCCAGTTGGAGTGGGGAGTGATCATCCTGGAATTGTATGCGAAGATAGAAAACTGCCAAGACCAATAGGAACAGAACGAGCTCAGAAGAAAAATCCAACATTTGCAAGTTTGTCAGAAGTTCCAGATATATGGTCCTATGGTGCAAGTAAGATAAATGGTACATTTATGTGTTCTAATTATTTCTCTTTGTCTAAGATGAAGTAAAGAGGCAATTTAAATGTATTTTCAATTGTATCATTTTAATTTATATGGAATAAAGCTGACAGTTTTCCTATAAGTTATCATCATAATATTTCATATAAATACTTAACTTTGTTTTGCTCCTGCAGTCACTTAATTACTTGAGTTTACATAAAAATATATCAGTTTAGGCTCTGTGTATAAAAAATTTTAATGTATATTGTAAAAAAATTACACATTTTAAATGGAGATTTATTTTAATAATCATTTAAGTTATTTGAAAGTGAGTTGTATTTAAGTAAGTGCACAGAAATTTAAGCATTTCGTGCATTATGAAAATAACTTTAAATTTGGATACTTTTTTGTAATGATTTTTATAGTGCATTTACTTGTACAAAGATATTTAAGCTGTGTTAAGATAAAATACTAGAAAGTTTTTATTACCTCATTTTAAACAAACGTATATAAATAGTTTATCATAAATTCCTCTAGCTTGTAGACTTAATTGCATGTGTTAGAAAAGAGGCTAATCAATGATGTGTTTAGAATATGGAGGAGCTTGATGGATACACTGGGGCTTCTGTAAGTAATGAGATGCCTTTGAATCCCACTGCAGAGTGCCAGTATTTTATACCAGAGCACAGAAGTAAGGTAAAAGAGAGCCTTTTCAGCTTGTGCAAAATATGTAATGTAAGCGTAATCTGCCTACTAATACCTAAACACTATAGTTTTTTCTAATTTTAAGACATGTACAATGAATTTAGGCATTTTTTTTGCATTGAACTATAAAAATTGTATTCATGTTTGCTAATACATCAAATTGTCATCTGCTAGATATCTTACACTTTTTCTTTATTGTGAAATACTTTATATTGTTCAAACTGGAGTACTGTTGTGACCAGAATCAAATGCCAAGTAGATAATATTTATTACAACAGCCCTAAAACTTTTTTGCCACATATTAACCCATAAATTATTCTCATTATCCCCTGGTGGGTCAGTGGACAGTTTTTCCAACTTACCCCACTGCTATCTGGAGTTTTATTCCTAGAGAGCACAGAGTACAGAAACTCATTGTGTAGTTTTATCCTAAAACAACAAACTGTTCTCATCATTCCAGGCTAGGTAGTAATGATAATCAATATTAAAGGCCACATATTAGCCTATAAAATGTTCTTATAATTACAGACTATGTATTCATAATCTGAAACATTACAGGCCATATATTACCCTGAAAATATTCTTATCATTACAGTTTATATATTAATGAGCCTTAATATTATAAACCACATATTAACTCATGAACTATTCTCATTGTTCCCTGTTGAGTCAGTGGTCAGTTTTCCAACTTATCCTACTGCTGTCTAGAGTTTTTTTCGTGGGGTGGACAGAGCACAGTTACCCCATTGTGTAGTTTAATGCTAAAACAACAACCCATCCTCATCATTACAGATTTTGTATTAATGATCCCAAATGTTACAGTCTATATATTAACTCTAAATTATTCTCATCATTATAGGCTATGTATAAGTGAGCCTTAATATTATAAAACACATATTAACTCATAAACTATTTTCATTATTACAAGCTATCTATTGATGATCCTCAACATCATATGTCATATACTCACTTGTAAGCTATTCTCATTGTTAGAGGTAATCTATTAATATCCTCAACATTATAGGTCACATATTAACTCATAAACTATTCTTGTTGTTAAAGGCTGTTTGTTAATGATCATCAACATTATAAACCACATATTAACCCACAAACAATCCTCACTTTTACAGGTTATACATTAATCTAGAAGCCACACTAACCATCATAGGTCATGCATTAACAACTTTTAACATTAAAAATCTACATTTATATCAACAAACAAGCCTCACAAGTACAAATGGTATTAAAAGTGCTCTCCATACATTAACAGTCATCAACAAGAACATATATTGACTCACAAATAAAAGTCAAAATGAATGATTTTTCACCTTTATTGACTGTAAGTTAAATTATAAACTTATTTATTCATTACATGTTCTTGATTAACCTGTAAACCAAATCAACTTCATCTTTACAGGTTATCCATTGTATATATACACATTAAGTCAGAGACTCTTTTCAAATACCTTGCAGTTCTTCAATTAACCCCTGAAGTGTGTTAATAAACTATGGTTGCCCTTACTTAAACATGCATTTAAGACATAGAACACTTCATCATAAATTCAGAGACAGTTGTTAATGTCATGGTTAGAGCTGGGGAGTTAGTGAAATCTGCTAATCAATTAATCATCAGGTTACATATATCAGATATATGAATTTAAGATCACTGCTGTACATGAAAATGTATCACATACACATTGTAGTATCAAATTCAGGTTTGAAATCTTTAATAATATGAAAAAATATTTATAACTGTGGGTTATTCTCTACTAATTTTCTCAAGTTTTCCATGTTAAAAATAATTGTCTGAAGATTATGTTTGTTGAAACTAGGAAAGATTCTTGTTACAGTGTGTGTGATAGGTATATAATTCAGAGAAAAACAGAGACAGTACAACATTTACTACTTCCCAATAAAACTTCATGATACTAGATTACCTCTTTACAGACATTAAAATGAACAATAAGGTGCAAATTAAAGTAATGTAAAAAATAATAATCACAGTAATATGAAGTAATCTTTAATTACAGATGTTTCAGAATTTTTTCTAATTCCATTATCAACAAGAAAAACTTAAGAAATAATTAATAGTTTTATATGTATAAAAACCTCATAGTTTTTAAGCAAGAAGTTGTTGATATGTACAGAAGTTTAAAAAAGAACACAATAAGAAACATGTTTGCACAAAGAAATCAATAAATGAAACCGTCGACAGCTTATTGTATTAGGAAATGTTTAAGAGGCATGTGAAGATGTCAGACTTTTGTTTTCCCTTTTCATTGCTTCCTATAAAGCTAGAGCTAGCCATAATTAAACAGGAATTCTATTATTGTAAATAAGTTAATGACGTAATGGTGTAACATATTGTTAGGCTGTTGTTAGTCCACCTATAGTAATTTCTGCCAAACATCATAAAATGAGCAAGTCATTTAGCAGTCACATTTTTTTGTTTTAACTTGCCATAACTTTTTTTATTAAAGCAATCGTACCTAAAGTAACAATGGTTACATTTGTGGATTATAATAAGTTAGCAATATATTAAGTTAAAGTGACACTCTTATTTACATATACAAGGTAAACATGAACATTGGGCATAACTGTGGCTAGTTATGTAACCAATGGCCACTAGGACACACACTAAAATTTGTGAGCTGTGTACAGGCAGAATGCATCCATACCATCCTGCACAGGTGAAACAACAGAAGTAGTAATAACTAATATTTTGATTTCTAGCATTGTTGAAATAATTGTAAACATTAATTGTGTTTAGTTGACTATTTCCATGAGTCGTGACACTAGTTGATTAAGATTAACAACCTTGAATTAAGCCAAAATAATGAGAAATCATAATGGCAATATCTCAATTGCTTAGATAGTTGAAATAATTGTAAATAATAATTTTGATCAGTAGGTTATTTTCTTGACATTGATCAGCTGTAATTATGGGTCATACATTAATCACTAAAGTAGCCCTACCACTACAGATCACATAAGTAACAAACTAACTGTACCATTACAAGCTATGCATTAACAGTCTTCAATATATAGTATTAGGTCACTGTATTAACTAGTGTATCTATTCTCATTACAGACTATGTACTGTCCCTACTCACTACTACAAGTTGTCATTACAGACAGTGAATCTCTGTTTATGATGTCATGTGCTGTGAAATTGACTAGAGATGAAAAACTAACTGCTGGGAGTGAAATTCACCATAGCAACCTCACATTATCCATACTCACCATTGTGTATTTATTTTCATTTCAGACTGCTCTGCCTATACTCATTTTCAAAAGTCATGTATTCTCTTTGTAAGCTGTGCATTATCTGTATTCACCATTATAAGTTGTGTACCTAATCTTGTTATCGACCAAGCTCTAGCCATACTTACAATTGCAGGTTGTATATCTCTTCTCATTGCAGGTCTTGCACTCTCTGTACCCATTATCACCAATTACTGTGTAGTACTTATTACAGGCCATTTTATTAATGTTCACCTTTAACAACAACTTCATATTTACTTTTACAATTACTCATTTTACTTACCATTACCATCTACTCACCCCCTCATAATTACTGACCATTGCCTTTTGTTATCATTACTACTTTCTTACACACTCATTTTAACAGGCCACTATTCTTTCCATTGCAAAGTACTGCATGTTTCAATATAGACCACTGACTTGTTTTATTGTTACCTCAACTCTGAACAAGCCATAGCCCTTTTTTATTATTATGACTTAATCTACACTCGTTATTACAGACCTTTATAATTTTTTAACACTACCACCTATTCCACATCCCCATTAGTGAGACTGTCCTTTCTCACTAGTATCACCTACTGCATACTCAATATTACAAACTGTTATTATTAGCACCTACTTAATATATCAAGACATTTTATGCATACCATTACCCTGTGTGATAGATAAGTGGGATAAATATTGATTAATCTAAAGTATTATGTTTGAAAACCTTACAGTAAATGGATCATATGATGGTATTTTCATGTAATGAAACAGCAAAGAGAAAAAAGATCTTAAAATTTCTAGTGGCTAAATAATTTATGTTAAAATATATTTAATCTTTTCTGTTATCTCAAAATTATGATATTAAAGAAAAAAAATTAAGCACTCTTACAATATGAATGGAAAAACACCTTTACATTTTGTGTTGTAAAATTTGAAATGTATCCCTCTTTTACATATAATGCTAGAAAACTGTTACATATAACACTAGAACACAATGTTACATATAATAGTAGGACAGTGTCACATATGTCTGATGAGGTATAACATGGTAAGGAACCTTCTTTTTTGTTGTTGTTTTGTTTGATCTATATTTCTCACTGTTTTTCTAAACAGATATCAGCTCAGCAGGAGATTGGATCCATCAAATACCTTCAGGTATAGCAGCAATGCAAACACTCTCACAGGAGGATCCCCATCCACACATACTGCACAATAATTACATGAGTGGCAGGTATGGGGAAAACCTAGTATCAGTGACACAACAAAGCTCTTCATTAGAGCAGTCTTACCAGGTGAGTCAAGTTAGTTTGTAATTTTAGTATGTTTATTTTTTGAGGAATTATAAAGTATTATTTTGTACACCACATTTTGATTAGCTATTTTGAAGATTTGCTGTCAGGTGCAGTTTCCTATTTTTTTTTATTGTTGTTGAGGGATTCTTAATTAATTAATTATTTTTTCTGCAAATGAATTATATAGCCCCCCAATGTCTCAGTAGTAAGTCTGAAAGCTTGTGCTAAAAACCGAGTTTCAATACCTGTGGTGGGCACAACACAGGTAGCCCATTGTGTAGCATTGTACTTAACAATAAACAAACACATTATGAGTTGATACACGTTTGAAACCTAATCACAAATCTTTTAGGTGCATTTTACTCAGAAGTTTCAAGTACAAGTGTATCATTTTGTATACTTTTTTTTTTGTAATTCCAAACTTTTTTGTGTTTTATGATTGCTGTCCAGTTTGATTAATCATCTTGATGATAGCTGTTAAGACCTGTGAACTCTATCCATATAATTACTATGCACATGAAGAAAAATATATTTTATCATTCAAGATAAAATGAAACATAATCTAATAGTTTATTATATTTTTATAGTGGTGCAACAAGATTGTTGATTAAAAGACACATCAAAAACTGTCTTATTTTTCAGAACACCAGATTATGGCCATATAAAGCACTATGACTTCTTGTGAACTAAGAAATTTATAACTAGCTATTTAAGCTAGTGGTGTTTTAGAAGGCAGGGCAGTTTTACTTAATCTGTTATTAACTGTTAAGGAAATAAGGAGACATATATTTGTTCTAATTGACAAATCAAATTTCAATGCTTGCTTCATTCATGGTTAAGAAAAAGTGCATGTAACAATGGGTATGGATTAGAAATAGCTGTGCTTTTTTTTTAAAAAGGTAAGTAAAGGTTTTAGTTATTGCTTTTTTTTAAAAGGAAAATAGTGAATCATGATATTAGCATAAGTAGGCTAGTGATAGCTGAATTTAGCTATGTTATCTGATGTGAGCTGTTGTGTTGCTAGTTTTGTTGTATAGCTGTGTTTGTTTTAACTGTTATTGAGAATTGTTCCACCAAAATATGTAGAAGTACAAAATAAGCTTAATTACTGACACAAAAACAGGATAATTTTGTTATATTCTTTAATAAATATATAAAACCAGTTAAACTTGCTTAAAGAAAGGGAAGAAAATCTAAGTCACCAGAAAAATTCACTGTAGTTCTACGGTATGATCCTGTGGAAATAATCACTTAGATTTTATCTCAGAAAAAATAAACTGTTAGAAAGTGTAATTCAAGTACTTATTAATGATATGATATAGGATATCGACATATCATTTGCAGGATTCTTAGTAAAGCAGATATTAAGCATTTATGGATTCTTTTGGTGTATAATGTCTTACGTTGGCAAAGTATGATTTATTGATGATCAGTGATTTGTGAGACATTATGACTGATAATAATTTACATGACCTCCACCTGATGAACTCTGATGTTGACCAAAAGACCTCGTTGGTAGAGGTGTGAAGTGCACAAGGTATGTTGTTGAGATTTTATTTTGTTCTTCTTACTGAACATCTGTACAGAAAGAATTGTTAAAAATTATCATTAGTCTTATTCTGATATAATGACACACACACAAAACACTGATCTTTACCAGATCACACTTTGTCAGCATAAAATGTTGTGTAATATAATAATTTATACCTTATCAATGATGGATATAAACTGTATTTTGGCTGAGGCAAAATGTATGTTGTTTGCCCAGCTGACTTAGTGAGCTTTGATGTTGAGCAAAAGGCTTTGTTGGCAATGGCATTCAGCATACAGGGTGTGCAGTAAAGATGTTATCATATTCTTGCTATTGAACATAGTGAAACTGAATGAGGATCTTAAAATCACATAAAAACTGTATTAATTGATATTGTCATTAGCATATAAAAGATATCATATGGTTTATTCCTTGTATTATAATGCAGTCTATGAATATAGTCACCCCAGGAGGAGGAGGTTATTCTCCATATTTGAATGGTATGCCAGTACCTCACGTCTTGACCACTCATCTGTATTCTCATGCTAATGGAAGTCTTGCAACAGGAATGGAGGTTGGAGGAGAACTGTGGCATGCTCCTTCCAAAGTGGTGTTACCTAACATTGGAGACAACCTTTCCTGTGACCATAAAATGGTCAGTATCTGGATGGACAATGTGTATGCTTTCAACTAAAGTACAAATAGGATGGCTTAATAAATGTCTTGCCACCCAGTGATTTATGGGAATGAAAGTAAGGTTTTTGTTAGTTTCTCCCCAGTGTCTTACCCTTTGTGATATGTGCTAATAAAAGTAAGGTTTCTTCCAGTGTCTTATCACTGAATGACTTCTGCTAATTAAAGTATTATTTCTGTAAATTTTTCTCTCGATGTCATATCATCAAGTGAAAGTTAAGTTTTTTTGTGTTTCTTCCAGTGTCTTATCATTAAATGCTTCATGCTAATAAAGGTAAGGTTTTGTTTGCATTCTTCCAGTGTCTTATCATTAAATGTTCCATACTAATGAACATACGGTTTTGTTTGCATTCTTCCAGTGTCTTATCATTAAATGTTCCATACTAATGAACATACGGTTTTGTTTGCATTCTTCCAGTGTCTTATCATTAAATGTTCCATACT